TCTCCCGAAACATATATGAAATAAGGTTGAAAACCTTCTTTAAAATTATTTGTAACGTACCGGAACATAAACCGAGTCATGTATACCCATTATTCTATATTAGTTTTAAATGTTTCTATTCAAAAGTCAGTTTTTCTTAATTCTTTTTATAAAAATGGAAAATGCTCCCACTCGGACTCAACTTCAGAGATGCTCCCACTCGGACCTAAATATATACAAATTTTGAAAGCAAATTGCTGTCTTAAGACATTGATATTTTTTTCAAAATATCTTTATATTCACGTTCATATATTCATATAAATAGTAAGAATTCAATGAAACAGCATTTTTAAAATACGATACTAATATTTAAATTACTAAACAATCTCGTAAATATGTCTTCTTAGAGGATTAGTATATGGGAAAAAAGTTGTGTTGAAACAATTCCTTGTTTCAAAGAGTCGCTTAAATAAGAAACAAATTGTTTATACATTTTAAAAATATAATGACGTTTTGTTTTGCAGAAAGTATTTGTGCATTTGTGACCAGTATGGAAAAAGGTATTAACGACGTAAACATTGTTAACATTGCGACGTAAGGAAGCACATGGCAGGACATCTTGGCACGGCAAAGCTGGAGCAAATACTTTAGATACCAAATGTGGATATATCTCATTTAGGAGGAATACTCTAGAAAACAGAAGTATAATAGTTCTTTGAAGTAATTGTCTTTTGTTCAGTTTTTTGCGTTAATTTTTGGACAATGTGTCATAAATGATCAATTCATCTGAAATTTCACTGGAGGATAGATTTCAATAAAGAAAAAAAATCCGCAAACAAGAATGACAACTCTCCAGTTTTGGAGTTATTGTTCTTTGTATTCACTATCATTAGTTTGCAAGGACCATATCTCTAAAGGTATTTGAGATATAAACTTAAAACTTTATATTGAACATGTTAAATAGAAGTGAATAGCAGAGCATAAGGACCAGAAGTGTTCACTTAATGCTTCTTTGTTGTTTTTCTTTGTTTTTTTTCATGGGAGTGTTATTTTTGTCATGATTTATTATGTCTAGGCTATAACTTTTCATTAATTTTCACGAGTATCATTACTTGGAATTTTTGCACGTATGTAAAGGTTACTTCCCCTTTGAAATGTACTTCCTCATGGCGGGGGATTTTGCTGTCTGTGATTTCTTCTTGTATTATTGTTATCATTTTAACGTCATTCAAATATCCTGAAATCATTTTTCTATGATTTTATTCATAAATATAATGCTCAAATGAAGATTTATCAATATTGTATGTTTCGAAAACATTATTTGTAAAGATAATACCGAATTTACATTTCATAAAGGGGGGTAATTAGAAATATATTTTCTATCAAGTGTAAGTTGAATCTTTCAAAAAGAAATGAATGCATTATGCATACATGTATATTTAAATGATTACATATAATGTGGACACGCATTTGCAGTACGTATTTTACATATTCCTTTATGTTGGAAAATTGTTTTAGTATCATAAATATTAATACATTTAATTTATAGACAATTTCAATTGGTAACAGCCTGAAATATAACTTACATGATGTTTAATTACCAAAATATGGTAAAGACTGTGATAAAGAAATAACTATGATCTTTGTTTTCTTATTTATTTTTTTTTTATTTGGGTAAAAATACATACACATGATAACTTTCATACTTAAAATTGTCAAAGTTGTTAATAATTGTGACGCCGTAGTATGGCAGTACATTGACTTTTTAACCAGTTCATGACAAAAATGATTTACAGGTTGTTCTTTAATAAACTATTCAAATCAACCGATAGATATTGACTTCTTTATGTTCATAAACGTACCATTATGCTGTTTTAAAACCTAAATCACAAGTTTAACAAACACGCAAACCATTGGGTTTAAAATTATTAACAAGATATTAAAGTCAGCAATTATTGAATAAATGCTGGCCTCTAATATGTGCACGAGTCCAACAGAATCTTAATCCGGTATGGTACTAAAGAATGTATAATGACTTCTTTGTAAAACACCACAATTTTTGAACATCTAAACAAAACTTTATTCTTGAGATCCAAACTGCCCATTTAAAGTCTTATAGTCCTAGCTTGTTGTTGGCAATAATTTTGAATTATCCCTTCGGATGCAACACAAGCCAAGTGCACCTTTTTGTATAGTGATCCTGTCAGTTGAAACTTTGCCATGGCACCTTGTTCCTGCCCAACGACGTCATTCTACAGAATCAAAGAAGTGATCTCTGTAAAAAGAATGAAAAGTTAATGTTGCCAAACACAGTAGTTATTGACAAAATGGAGTTAAAATTGTGAGAAAAATCCATAAAAGCTAACACAGCAATGTGCTTTCAAAATGTGTAAATTTGGGTCCGAGTGGGAGCATCTCTGAAATCGAGTCCGAGTGGGAGCATTTTCCATTTTCATAAAAAGACCTTTAAAAGACTGACTTTTGAATAGAAATATTTGAAAGTAATAAAGAATGATGGGTATACATGACTCGGTTTATGTTCCGGTACGTTAAAAATAATTTTAAAGAAGGTTTTCAACCTTATTTCATACATGTTTCGGGAGAAGTCCGAGTGGGAGCTTTCAGAGAAAAACACTTATCCCGTTTTCAGGCCTAAACCAGGCAATAAATCTATACACTTTTTTTACAATTATCTCAAGTACTATAGCCATTCTTTGGTGCGCTACATGATTTTTTAATACTCTTACGTTTTCTTATAATAAAATTGTATTTTACCTTCGAGTCGACGAAAAAATGGCCCAAGTGGGAGCATTTAGCAGGTGCGCGATGACGTAGTATCCTACCATTGTTAAATGTGTCGTTTAATCGCAATGAATATTCCGTGACTGCAATTTCACGTTGATGGTGTAACGACAAATATACGAAAAGGAGGTAAGTAATGTTTAATCTATAAGCCATTTTAATAGTCACACGATAATTGCTTTTATGGCACACGTTTTAAACAGCCACCTTATGAATGAATTTGGATAGATTAAAATGAAACATTCCAGAAATTAACATAAAATGTACAAATGCAGTTTCGATTTGCACATCAAAACTTTCATTGTATGATTTTATTACTTATACAAGTATATGATATGGCTTAAAAATATTTGCAATTAAAATTCTAAGGTAGACTTATATGCTTGGAATGTTGACGAAAATGCAGTTTAACTTTCGGACTATAAGTGTTGGTGAACTTTTGATTTTAGCCTATTCGCTTGCATAGATGCAAAATGTATTACTTAATGGTTTTGGTAACACTGCAAATCAAAATGTGATTGTTTAGATTTTTATTTTATTTTATTTTAGAAATTAGTCTGTTAGTATAAATCACAAACGACCATCTTAAAATATTTCAAAGTTATTAAAAAAGAAGAAAATAAGAGAAAAAAGGTAATAATAAAATATAAAACTACCTGAAATATCTTATTTTAATCGTTTTAAAATTAACTACTTCACCGGTATTGTATTAAAACTTGACAAATAATAAAATATCTTTATAATGAAGTTTGTATAGTTTTTTTATTTTTTGTGTTAGTGTGTTTTTGTTTTTTTGTTTATAAATTATAACCAAAAAATGAAGGTTTCCCGCGGATTTCTCCGCAGGGATCTGCCTACATACATACTTTATTCTTTAAATAAAAGGGTATTTCAGCGTTTTATATTATATTTAAGTATAAGTTTCGAGTCCATGCCATTAAAACCGTGATTGTAGACTTTATAGCTTAATTAACATTGGGAATTAAATGTAGATGAACTCGTAGTTTTATCAAGTTTTCAACCTGAAATGTTGATGAATTCGTAGTTAGTAGCGGTTGCAGCTTTTACTTGTATTTTACTTATAGCGGTTGCAGCTTTTACTTAAATATATGTTTTTGATCACAGCTCTTATCAATTTCTCTTTTAAACGCAAGATTTTCAGACATTATACATGTTTGCTCGGTTTTGTCATTATGAAATTTCCCAGCTAAAACTACGTTTATAAAACGAATTTAAGGGGAAATAATCAAAATGATATTTTAATAACTACACAGGGTAAAATTCGACAAAGAAGCAATAGCATTAGAGTCCTAACATATGCATTAAATTTTGTGTTATAAGGCATTTATATAATATGTCTGATACAAAAATCGCAAAAAAAAACTCCATTCATTAACTAGGTTAGAAAAAAACACCCTTTTTATTGCTTGACAAAATCAATATATATGAGCCGCGTCACAACAAACCCAGCATAATGGGTTTGCGACCAGCATGGATCCAGACAGCCTGCGCATCCGCGCTGTCTGATCAGGGTCCATGCTGTTCGCTTACCAAAACTATAACAAGTAGAGAAACTAATAGCGAACAGCATGGATCCTGATTAGACTGCGCGGATGCGCAAGCTGGTCTGGATCCATGCTGGTCGCAAACCCATTATGTTGGTTTTGTCGTGACACGGCTCATATATTTTTCTTTTTGAAACTTGTGGTGAATAGAAGTGATTTAATTATATCAGGAGAATTTACACAATCTTATTGAACAGTAATTTAAAACATCCGCGACGCGTGACCTTGTCTTTTCAGTATCACAGCGTAATTGCATTTTTTTCTTCTTATAACACAACTTTGTGATTGTGATGATACGTGAGTTTTTAAATTTACTCAGACATTTCATAATTATTTCAGCATTTATAATACTGCATGTTTGTAACATCATGGCGATTAAAAAATGTACACGGCTGCTGCTAAGTTATTTCATTTTTCCTCTTATCTGGGACTAAAATTAATATATCTTCTGTGTCGTTAGGTACATGTATATAAACGGTTATTTGCAATATAACCGTTTATTTAGGCAATATAACCTGTAAAAAATCCTTTAAATTAATATTATAAATGCTCATTACACATACTGTGGCTAATTTTGTAAAACAATTGCCCAAGTTACAGTAACTGGACATGATAGTGTAGTAATAATACAAAAGTTACTCCCCTTTTATACGGTTGAACAAGATCAATCAATTCCGGGTATACATGTACATCTCTTACATTGATCAATGATTTATCTAATTATATATATGGGTGTGACAAGGTATTGATTATAGTGCATTTACTTAGTAAATATTGGACGTTGTTTATTTATCTGTTATTTGTTGGGGTACATGTCATTCAGCCTCGCTTATTGTTGCATGTCAAAATTGTGTACGGAAATTTGAACTTTAGCTAGTTTCAGGTTACTGTATAATAATCTGTTAATTATCGATGAATTTTATTGAATGATACAACAGCTGCAGCCAGGATAATCGTGACGGCTGACAGTGGAACTTGAAGAATTGATTGCTTATTCAACTGTTCAATATTGAATGAACTATAGGACATTATAAAGATGGCAATGGAACTTAAAGGAAGAGTGTTAGTTTACTCCATCTTGGGTTGTCCCCATTGTATGAAGGCCAAGAGTACATTACAGGAGTTAGGTGTACCTTACACAGATGTGAGCTTAGAGAAATATCCACACGCTCGTCAAGACGTTCAGATGAGAACACAAAAACGAACAGTTCCTCAGATATTCTTCAATGCCAGACATATTGGTGGTAACGAGGATCTACAAAATTTGGTAATTAAAAATATTGTTGACTTTTTTATTAGATGTATAATAATTATATCATATAAGAACATACTCACATGTTAACCTGTTGTTTGTTTTGTTTATTACTTAAAAGTAATATAAAGTTCTACATCTTGGCAAATATGAACTTATATACATTGTATATGTATAATGAAGGTTTATGTGTCACTTCATAGCTCATTAACCACTGAAGGTACTTAATGCAAGGGTCATACATTTCTTTGGGATAATAATTGTAGGTTTCTATCAAAGATATGTAGCTTTAGCAACAACTTGGACTTAATTATTTACCTTTTTATATAAGAATAAAATTGTGTGCAAGATCTTGTAAATTGAGTGGTCTAAATATGTTTTATCAAGGTAAAAGACCAAGAAAAGTGGACAGAGGCACTGGAAGTGTTGAAAAGTACACCAGCTGGTCCTGATGCTCCACAAGTTCCTGATCCAAGCACTGCTGTAAAATCTTTTGGTATGCATTCTTTTTTCACATATTTTTAACTCTTTACCTGTTGGAAGCAAAAGTGATTAGGCAGTGCCACAAGAATAGAGCCAGGCCAGCCTGCATGTCATGGCACTACTATGTTTGTAGCTGAAATGTGGAATTTTCATAGATGCATTACCTTTTAATTATTAACAGGTTGGCGATACATATCATCGGTTAAAATACTGTTAAAATCAGTTGTATTTTCAGCATTTAGATTAAGATATCCCCCTTGATCCTTGGCCAAATCAGTTGTTTTTGTTGGCACATCTGTTGCCTTAGATAAAAATAAAAACTGGTTGAATCAAATTTTTTGTCGTTAAGACATTTTTTTCCTATAATTAATTTAGATTTTTCAATTTTATCACATTAGTGCATTTTTTACTTATGGGTCAGTTCTATCCAGCTTAAGGTTGGTTGTTCTACTCATGTGCAGGGCTTGTGACTGAAATAATGCAAGAAGGGGCACAACCATCTGAGGTATTCCTCCACCAGTGAAGCTGAAAAATGGCTGTGTGTCTTTTACAGTGTTGATTTCACTCAAAGTTCAACAAACACATGGCTCAGCTGTCTGTATCATTCTTTATAGTTCATGGAGGGGATTGACAGAATAGAAAATTATGGACTGTTCGCTAATTATTTCAGATGTTGGAGATATAGTGTGTGAACCTGATGAATATGCCGAGTTTGTAAAAGAACTGAGGAATTCAGGAATTATAAAAGACCATAGATCATTGCTGAGAAGCTACAAAAATTCTTTCAGTGGCAAAGAATTTGTTGACTGGGTGGTTAAAACTAAGGAAGTTGGTAAGATAATCATTTCAGTATACTTCACTATTGAAATGTATTAATATATGATATATTACCTAACGTGGCCATGGGTTGATCATAAATACGATGGGTGTTCAGAAAATATTGCAGTTACTTCAGAAGTTTTAAGTTTTATAAACATTTGTACATATTTTCAATTATGGCATTTCAAAAGAATCCCATTAACAGGTACATTTTTTAACCACTTTATCTAAAATTTAAATCATATCTGAAGCGCTTAAATAACGCTGTTACCAAGTGCTTTTCTTGATGAATATCTCTTAACCAGAAACATTTTATTTTTGTAAATAAAAACTAATCAAAAGGTGCAAGATCAAGTGTTTACAGCGGATGATCAAGGACTGTAGCACTTGTATCCTTTGGAAACTGTTTTTTTTGCATCACAAACTTTATGAGGAGGAGCATATGTATGTGTATATATATAACTGGTCACAAAGTACACATGTAACTTTGATAAATAGGCTGTGAAGTTGCCCATTATTCATAGTACATTTCTCATAAGTATGAATGTTTTAAAACTCGTTTAAGGACAAATTTTTTGTGGCAATAAGGACATGAACAATTTCCTTCTCAGCAGTAAGATTTTTTTCTAAACTTTTAGACATTGAAACAAGCAATTATGACTGTGTACTAATGTGCAATGAAAATACTTAAATATTGTTACAGTTAGTTTGTCCTCTACATGCTGACACCATTATATCACATGAATTACATGAAACTTAGCAATAACCGATTTAAAAATTATTACATGAAACTGTAATTGTCATTGTATAGATTGATTTTTTTTCAAGTTGTGAGTTTGGTTTGGACCTATTTTCCTTACCCAGTCATTGGCCTAAATGTTGCTTAACCATTTTGGTTATTTTCTCATTTATTGTTATTAACTTCAACACTCATCAAATCTGTTATATTGAAACATTATATGTGGATGCACCTTGATGAGTTCTACCTGCAGGTCAAAAGAACTAAAAGTCCCAGGTCACTATTAACCTGCTAATAGCAAAAGATAAAATAGGCCATTTCAGCAAAATGCCATCAACCTATGAACTTCAAACTTCACCCTGCTTTTAGAACTCAAAGGTCAAAAGTCACAGCAAGTGTTTCATCATTTTTAACTTTATGTGCAGGCTAGCCTTTTAAAGTCAATGTCGTAATTGGAATCGTCAAAGGTCAAAGTCTGTTAAGCCTTGTAAGGCCTTATAACCTTGTTATATCTTTGATGGATTGTTTATATATTTGGCCAAATGTCTCTTCAAAATGTTCCTAGCAGCAGTACTGCCCTCTTAAGGTCAAGTGTAATTTTTAGTGAGGTCAAAAGGTCAACATAGTCACATTTTAAAAAAGGCAGTGGAAGGGCTTAATGCATTCTTTTAGATTTTAAAAACACCAGAAAATACAGATATCTCTGCCCAAGATGTTAAATAAAAAAAATAGAAACAATACTTATATAGAAAAACTAACAATTCTTCTTTACCTTATTAATTAACAACTTTTGAACATACCAATTATAAGGTGAAGTTCGCTTTTTTAGAAATTAAACTTCTCTTGTGTACAGCATCTCTTCTTAAACATGTAAGAATACTTTATATTTTTTCTATTGCTTCTTGTACATCATTTTCAGCACAAGGGATTGCGACATTTGTTTCATAGATAATTAAATTAACTATTTAATTTACTATTTAAAGATCGCAGACAAGGGCCAGTAGAGATGGACAAGCCTTTGATGAGATCGCCATTTTGGCCATCATGGTAAAAGATCAGGCAAACATTTGAGCGATAAAGATGCTCTATTACAGACTTTTCTTAGAGGATGATGAATAGTAGTGCTTTAAATGCCGGCCCTCGGCATTTGTAAACCGCGACCAGGATAATATGATGACCTTTATAGTGACTTCTTTTTGCTGATTAACAATGACTGTCCATAAAGAACTTCTTAGTACAATATATTCTTTTCATACTTCCAAAATCACTTCTGTCCTTTTATGGTATGCGCAGTAAGTCTGTTCATCCATCTATTCCCACACACTGTGAGTGGCGATGAATTTCTGTGTTCAGTTACACACAGGCCTGTACTTCGTGGGAGAAAAAAATTTGATCTGATTGCAGCCGTTTTAAGATACACAAAATAGAGACTTAAGTGCGGCAGTCAGATTACCCATATTCGAGTTTGAGGTCATTATGTCATATGCCTGGCAAAAATGCGAGCTGGTAATATCATTGTTCTATGGTCAGTAGATGACTCTTCAAAGGTCACATTTACAATTTAAGACAGAATCCTTTCTTTGTCAGTAAGAACTAAGCTTAAGTTTGTGAAATTTAGAAAGGGACGATTGTCCATGGCCAGTAAGTTAAAAATCTATTTAATCATCATGTATCTTAGTGAGATATTAATCAGTATTACTCACTGCCATTTTTGCACTCTTCATTATCTGTAAGGTCAACTTCAAGATATTATAGGTCATTCAGCTGTCAAAAAGGCAAAAGGTCCTAAAACTTCCTATACCAGTCTTGCAGTTAACTGTTTTGCATTGAATGCTTTATCAAACTTGGTCAAAATGTTGTCTTATAACATTTGCGACCATCATTCACCTGGCCCATTGAAAACACATATTTAGACTTGTAAATCAGCTGTTAGAATATTACATGAGTGGTGCTTTAACTGCTGGTTGATAGCTTTGTTCAGCTGCCACAGCATGACAGAATATCTTGCATCAATGTTATTGAACCTTTATAATTGCACACTATCAGCATGAGAGAAAAAAATAAGCTACAGTTTTTATTTTGCGCAGGAGCCCAGTAAAAGCCACTCTCATGGCCCTCTGTTTGTAATGTTCTAGTATTAATCAGCCACCTTTGTATGACCCAATTTAACAATAACTTGTTGACCTACTAGTTTCAATATTAAATGTGCGATGTACCTTGCATTAATCTACATTACCCTATATTGACCTAATGAAATCAGATAAAACATTATACTTGAAAATAGCCTTAATTTGTTATCACATAGTACAATAGCTGAATAAATTATTATTAAAAAAAATGTACTTCAAAGGTCTTTTGTTGTAAGGATGGCTGACATAGGTAATCATTTAGCTGCATTTATCTAAACTGTTTTTTTTTCGTTTTTTTTCTTGTAGAACAATTTTCTATTGCTTAATTTATAAGATTTTGCTACTAGAAAGTAAAATCAGTTTGAAACTTAAGCATGACATAGTATTTAGCTCCAATGAGATGGTTTAGTGATTTGATATGAGAACTATTGATATATTTATCACATACAGTGTCTTGCCTTTAATGCCATGCATTTTTTCTTTTTGAAAATGTTCATATAGTACCAGCTGATCAAAATATTAAACTCGCCCTATTCATTTCACATGTGTTATATATGGTTATTCCAGCTGCCTTATAATCATTCAAACATATCTACCTATCGTTTTAAAAAAAATGTTTTAATTACAATAACTTGATAAATTATACATGATTTAATGTAAAGTCAAATGACTTTATCAATGCCTTTTAAATACAATGGGTGAAGGTAGGGCTGTGAGATTGTATATGCCAGATGCTAAACCATTTTTGCCTTTATTTCAATCTTATTCTTTTTGCTTAATTACTTTAATGATCATGAAGATAGAAGAGAATGATACGATTTTGAGCGAATTTAATCTTTACTGAAGGATTTCAAACGCGGTGTAAATGAAATGTGGGGCTGTAGAGTGAAGGAGATGAGGAGTTGTGAGTTTGCTTTCCAACTTTTCTAATAAAGTATAAGAAGCCTGTGGTGTATGCTGCGGTAAGATGCGGCATTAGGATGTTAGAGGTCTGCGATACATAGCCCAAACCAAACATCCGTTTAAATGTCTGCTTTTTGTATGTGGGTGATGAACATTCCCCCCGCCACCGTCCCCACCTCCCCCAAAGATTAACAGGAAGATATGCAAAGAAATATGGCTTGTGTTTTAATAAAGAAGAGGGATTGAAAAGTGTGCATTAAATGTTATGATATTGCAACTAAGTGACTCTGTCAAGCAAAAGTCCAGAATGAAGAAAAATAATTTCTGACAAAAAACTTTTTTCCGATAATTATGCATATGTAATATGTCATGGTGATTTACATTTGGGACAAAAAATGCAAAAAGTTATTTGAACTTACAAATCAAATAAATGTAAAAAACAGAGATAGTAGAATTTTTGGCTTTACTATTTGAAAAATAATGTCTTGAGATATATATCTTGAAAAGGAAACATTAGTGCTGATCAGGATCCATTGGCTGGTTCTCTGTCAGTTTCTCTACTTGTAATAGAGTTGGTAAGCGAACAGCATGGATCCTGATCAGACTGCACGGATGCACAGGCTGGTCTGGATCCATGCTGATCGCAAACCCATTATGTTTGTTTTGTCGTGGCGCGGCTCAATTGTGTGTAGGATCCTATAACATGTACATTACAATGTATGCAAGTATCATACTACATAATTATAACTATTTATATATGTCATATTGGTCAATTACAGCGGGAGAATTAGGAGAGGATTTGAGGAAACTGATACTGAAAATTTACAGTAGTTATTTATCACCTGATGGGAAGGTAAGGTCATATCTTAATTTATCTGAATACTGACATAGAAAGATTAGCGGCCGATAACAGTGAATGTTGTATTATCTATATATTAGCTGCTGATAATAGTGATATTCAATGTATTATTATCTATATATATAAGCTACGTATCTGCATACAGTAACTGATTTTGTGTCCTAATTTTTTGATAATTAAAAACTGTATCATGTACATGTATAATGGTAGTGAGTAAACTTTAATTAGGTATACACATTATGTATTATAATCTTATTTGATCATTTTGTATAGGAACTTGATGGTAAAATAAATATTGTATAGATTAATGTATATTCAGTATAAACTCAGCAAAGTGGCCCTCTGTTGTGTAATGACCTCTCTTTAACAACAGACTATCATCTTTCTCCAAAACAAGATTTCACAGTAAATTTATTATAACCGCTGTAAAGCAACAGATATATAGCTTTATACACTTTAAAACATTTTGAAGCTAAATCATTGCTTACTTTAGAATAAAAATAAGGTCATTCCTACAGTCATTTGTGATTGACCGAGATTAAAGCTGCAGGTCTCCAGATGAACCAAAATATTTCAAGAAAATCAAATTTGAGAAAAATGTAATAAAATTTTAAGAAAAATAGAAATATTCAAGTAATAATGTACCATATTTATTACCATAATCTATTGCTTGACTTCACTACGCTGTAAGGGCATTTTTTGACCACTTTTTGTTGTTAATTTACAATCATTTGCAATGTGTAAATTACTTTTTTAAAATTTAAAAATTTAAAATATTTGATAAAATTTGTCATCTGTTAATGTAGTATTTTTCATTAAAAGGGTGAAGGTAACCGATGGATTTTTTAGTGAAGGTCATTAACTGATTTACTGCTGCTCACAGTTGAAAGTATCCGACCTTGCATGTTGTAGTCTTACACTTACTTACTTTGGTGTTCATTTAAATTGAGGAAGGTCAAAGGTTTTACTTGTGTACCTACTTATTATAATTGAGATGACATATGGAGGTCTTCCTTCGTAACAATAGCAATTAATTTGACTGTGAATATGACTTAAAACCCGAACTTTCATATCCCATCAATATTGAAACGAAAGTAAAAGAAAAACAATTTTTCTGTCTTATCTAGAAAGTGAACTACAAAGGAATAGGGGAGAGTAGCGAGTTTGAACAATATCAAAAGTTGGCGAAGGAGCTTGTACGTGTTCAGATAGTGGAGGCAACTAGAGAGGAGAAGTTGGCATTCTTCATCAATGTTTATAATGCGCAGGTGATACATGCTAATGTAACTATGGGACCACCAGTAAATCTCTGGCAGAGGTATAAGGTAAGTTTAAATCTCTTACTTGAAATTGAGATAAATTATTGAAATGAAGACTTAAGAATTTTTTGCTTTTTGTCTTTGTGTCTGGAGTAAGGCTGTCATATTTGAGTGTTAATAAGCTATAATTACTTATGTCACAGGGTAAGAAAAATGTGCAGCCTGACTAGGACTCGAACCAGGGCCCCTAATAATACCATTCTGTGGCTCTACCGACTGAGCTATCCAGCGGCTTACACATTTTTTCCCTTAGATAATGAACAGTTGTAAATCATGACATTTATTTGAAAAAGAATGGTATTGGCATGGTAAAAAGTTTCAGTTTAGTGAGGTAAGCAGTGTTCTGAAAATGTAATTTTTACCTATCCTAATTGGACTACCTTAGACTTAAAACTTAAGGAGAATTAATTTTATGGCATTGACAAATAGGAAAACTCTACTTATCTGAAATCTTAAGGTGCTTGATTATTTTGTCTGAAACTTTATTTTAAAGTTTGTATGCACAGACTAGAAACTATCCTGTGTGCTTTAAAATGTACAGTTTTTGCAAAGCATTTTGATTAATTGTGGTTGAAAGGAACAGTTTTTATTTCATTAACTTATTAATGTAGCTTGTGTTCTACTTGATTTATCATTTTCAACATTTCCAAAGCACGGTGCTATTGGTGATTATGAGTGGAGAATTCAAGAACTTGTTTTGGGTCTAAATCTGCAGGGTCTTTATTGTATTTTAGTAATGTAAAGGGCATAATTATGTATTTCAGTTTTTCAACACAGTGCGGTACATAATTGGCGGACATCAGTACTCTTTACAAGACATAGAAAATGGTGTGCTCCGTGCCAACAGGAAAGGAATGGGTAGGACATTCTGATATAAAAATTTTACAATTTTAAATTGCTTATAGTAATTTTCTGTCTTTATTTGTCTTCAGTAAACAGTTTTTAGCTCGACTATTCGAAGAATATGAGAGCTATTGTAGTCGCCCCGGCGTCGGCGTCAGCGTCCGCGTCGGCGTCTGCGTTGGTTAAAGTTTTTTGTAAAGTCAAATATCTCAATTATTGCTGGAGATATTCAATTGAAACTTACAATACTTATTTATAGTAACAAGGTACATCATATTGACAAGTTGGATAACTCTACCTACAATATTGACAGAATTATGCCCCTTTTTAACTTAGAAATTTTGGTTAAAGTTTTTTGTAAAGTCAAATATCTCAATTATTGTTTGAGATATTCAATTGAAACTTACAATACATGTACTTATTTATAGTAATAAGGTACATCAGATTGACAAGTTGGATAACTCTGCCTACAATATTGACGGAATTATGCCCCTTTTTAACTTAGAAATTTTGGTTAAAGTTTTTTGTTAAGTCAAATATCTCAATTATTGCTTGAGATATTCAATTGAAACTTACAATACATATTTATAGTAATAAGGTACATCAGATTGACAATTGGATAACTCTGCCTACAATATTGACGGAATTATGCCCCTTTTTAACTTAGAAATTTTGGTTAAAGTTTTTTGTTAAGTCAAATATCTCAATTATTGCTTGAGATATTCAATTGAAACTTACAATACATATTTATAGTAATAAGGTACATCAGATTGACAAGTTGGATAACTCTGCCTACAATATTGACGGAATTATGCCCCTTTTTAACTTAGAAATTTTGGTTAAAGTTTTTTGTTAAGTCAAATATCTCAATTATTGCTTGAGATATTCAATTGAAACTTACAATACTTATTTATAGTAACAAGGTACATCAGATTGACAAGTTGGATAACTCTGTCTACAATATTGACAGAATTATGCCCCTTTGAAACTTAGAAATTTTGGTTAAATATTTTTTGTAAAGTCAAATATCTCAATTATTGCTTGAGATATTCAATTGAAACTTACAATACTTATTTATAGTAACAATGTTCATCATTTTGCAATATAACTCTGTCTGCAATATTTGCAGAATTATTTGCCCCTTTGAAACTTAAGAAATTTTGGTTAAAGTTTTTTGTTAAGTCAAATATCTCAATTATTGCTTGAGATATTCAATTGAAACTTACAATACTTATTTATAGTAACAAGGTACATCAGATTGACAAGTTGGATAACTCTGTCTACAATATTGACAGAATTATGCCCCTTTGAAACTTAGAAATTTTGGTTAAATATTTTTTGTAAAGTCAAATATCTCAATTATTGCTTGAGATATTCAATTGAAATTTACAACACTTTTTTATAGTAACAATGTTCATCATTTTGCAATATAACTCTGTCTGCAATATTTGCAGAATTATTTGCCCCTTTGAAACTTAAGAAATTTTGGTTAAAGGTTAAAGGTCTTCAAAGATATTTACTTGAAACTTTACACATGTACTTAGGGTCATAATTTGAGGGTCATAATTGTATGTCACTGACCAAGTTCCATAACTCTATCTTGCATTAAGGCTGATTCATATCCCCTTTTCTACTTAGTCTCTTGGTAAATGTTTACATGCAAGTTTTACATATCTCAATAACTATTAAAGATATTTATTTAAAACTTCACATATGCATTTAGGGTCAGAATTGTAGGTCACTGACAAAGATCCATAATTCTTTCTTGCATTTAGGCTGATTTTTCTTCCCCTTTTCAACTTAGAAATTCATGATAAAGTTTTGCTTGTAAGCTGTTATCTCCATAACTACTGAAGGGTTTGTGCCTTTTTTGGGACAATTTTATGCATTCATAATAATAAAGCAGTGATTTACTTGATAAAACATCTTAATAACAAGCCTTTGTACCTTTTCTGTCAAATTTATGTATTCATAGGTAATTAGTATTATTATACTCAATAAAACACCCTTGTGACATTACTTTCCAAATAGTCAAGCCAATACTGTATAATTAGACTCTCTCTAAGGCCTATAACATGAATTTTTAAAAAAAGATTAGCCCTTTGGTGAACATAAAAAAATTAACATTATCAAGGCTCTTTTACTATCAAGCACTTAGAATAGTCGAGCATGCTGTCCTACTGACAGCTCTTGTTATATTATTTAAGCTCTGCCTAGTAACATAAATATTTACAAAATTGATGAGCATCGTATTTGTAATTCAGTGGTGGCTTGTTCAACTCTTGGGACATGTGAAATTTCACTTTGACAATTGATCTCATAGTCATTTATCTCTTACTGATGATTCACATAAGTAGTCGGTCTCTTGCAGAGAAATTGGCAAGCATGTAGAAAAGTCGTTAGGTTGACCGTCTGCTGAGATTTAACCAAATATGTGTTGAAATTGGCATGAAAACCAAACATGATTTACATGATACAGAATTGATATATAGAGCATATTGAATGAGTGTAAGTTCAATACTGAATTTATTGAAAGAGTTGCCTGGAAATACATTATGCGAGTCTCTGGAGTTCAATATATTCAGGAATGAACATACACAAACACAATATTCTGTTTATCACATATCCACAATAAAGACTTTAAAGTGAACTAGAACTCCGCGAGTCGGATGTGTCGCCTTGTGAACAATATAGTTTAGGAGAAGTGGCCAGTACAAAAGTGAAATATGAAAATTAACAAAGGGCAATAACTCAAAAAATAAGAAATGCAGAGCAGCAGTTTCTATGCACTGCACTTCTTATCAATAGTATCTATCATCCTATGAAGTTTCAAGTCTATAGCTTCTATAATTTATGAGAAATGGCCTGGACAAAAATAAAGTATGAAAATTAACAAAGGGCAATAACTCAAAAAATAAGGAATGCAGAGTACCAGTTCTTGAGCACTGCACTTCTTCTTAATGAGATATACCATCCTATGAAGTTCATGTCCATAGCTTTTATACTTTAGGAGAAATGGCCTGGACAAAAATAAAGTATGAAAATTAACAAAGGGCAATAACTCAAAAAATAAGGAATGCAGTACAAGTTCTTGAGCACTGCTCTTCTTCTTAATGTGATCTACCATCCTATGAAGTTCATGTCCATAGATTTTATACTTTAGGAGAAATGGCCTGGACAAAAATAAAGTATGAAAATAAAGGGCAATAACTCAAACAATAACAAATGCAGAGTACTGGTTCTTGTGTACTGCACTTCTTCTCAATGAGATCTATCATCCTATGAAGTTTCAAGTCCATAGCTTTTATACATTAGGAGAAATGGCCTGGACAAAAATAAAGTATGTAAATTAACAGAGGGCATTAACTAAAAAATTAAGAAGTGCAGAGTTCCGGTTCTTGTGCACTGTACTTCGGGTCATTATAAGAAACATGCATACCAAGTTTGAAGTCAATCTGACTTATAATGACTGAATTATGTTCCGGACAATCTTAAGGGGACGCCGACACCATCAACAAAAGTAACCCCTATATGTCGCCTTTTTCAAGGTGACACAAAAATAATAATTTTTCATTGACACGCCTATAGTATGATGCTCATTCACTAAAATGTGTGTCTTTATGCTTTTTGTATGATGTCTTGTCAAATATATATACACAGCCGTGTAATACCGTTTTTACAGAGCCACAAAAGTGGCACAAGTATGTGATAAAACGTTAAATGACTTTGTTATTTCCATCATTTGCAGGTATGTTCATGAAGCCATTTGGTTCATCAGATGCTAGACTGAAAGTATCCTTGGAAACGCCAGAACCTCTAATACACTTTGCTCTAGTGTGTGGCGCTAAAAGCTGTCCTCCTATTAAAACTTACTCTGCCGAGGTGATTATAAATTATTATTATGGCTTGACCTTGTAAACTGAATTGATAGATCAATCTATACTTAACCTTACAATACAATATACTAGGCAATATACCAGGTGGTATACTGGTATAACACTTTCCTGAGGTCATTCATACATTTATTTATATTAATAATATCATATATGTTGTTGTCCTGAGGGATTGCTGTTTCGATCGGAATATCTATCCCAAGGGACCTGCAAATGGGTGGGTTCCCAAGGAACTGATATTGCGATCCGAACCGCAAGCATTATGTCTGATATTTTTTCTTGCATACTCTACCATTTTCCATTAAATTTAAAATTCTTTACCTTAAAAAATGAATTTTCCATTAATATTTATGTCCTATTTTCTTACAGCATGAGTATGAAATTACAACTCCATGCATAACGGTAAAATTACATCATCCTAAGCATGCCATTGTATAGCTTATGACTCATCTCACCCCCAATGTCAGATGAAATTTTCGGCATGAGTAAAACTTGCAGAAACGCCAGTCTATATGCAAGAAACACGTTTTCTTTTCTCATCTCAACAATGCTCATATTATTAACAAATACAGTAAAGGTTATGCTTTTATTTCTTTTGTTTAGGGTATATATGACCAATTAAACTTGGCCGCAGAGTCGTTCCTGGAAGGAGATGATGGATGCCAGGTTGACATGGGTAAAAGAACAATAAAACTGTCACAGATCCTAAAGTGGTACAGTGTTGACTTTGGCAAAAATAAAGATGAGGTACGGTTATTTATTTAGATTTTGTACAATAATGAATGGTTAATTAGTTAAGTGGTCTGAACATTGAGACACTTTTATAAACAATTTATAAGAAAATTTGCCTTGTTAAGTTATGATAATAAAGAATTGGCAGACTAAGATATCACAAATTTAACCCAATGGCTTTACAAAAACTTAAAATTAATTATAAAACATCATATTTTTGGAGTGGAATTTATTTTGACATTATTATTTGTTTTACCGATAGGTATAGTAAACTCCACTTATAACGATATACTGCTTATAACAGTGCTGTTGCCACAGTCCCAACTCGTTTTCAAATTATTTGCCTTTCAGATATTAAGATATTTGGATATAGTAATACAAATTTGGTGGACCCCTGAATATTGTTATATAATATATTGTTATGCTATGAAAAGTGATTTAATGGAAATGGAAATCGTTGTGAAACCAAATTCAAAATTTTCTTGCTGAAATTCGTAAATGGACTTTCATAATATAGGCTGGCTCTATACTGGTTGAAAAGACTAGCCCTGTTTTGGTTCTAAGCAGGATTATGGCTAATTTGATAGGGATATAATTTAAATTATTTCTGTCACAGGTTGTAGAGTGGGTACACAAACATTTACCGGACAGTGAGAAGAAAACACAAGTAGGTGAACTTCTGGAGAGCAAGAACTACAAGCTGTCACACATGCCTTATGATTGGGGAATTAATTCGTAGACAAGGGACTCTCTTGCATGATGGGAGGTTTTTAAAGACTTCTTGTAACAAGCCTGAAATCAAAGATATTTTTAACTTTATGGCGTAATCTTTGTAACTTTCTGCTTCGGATAGTGGCTTAGACTTACCATTGATATTGTGTCTTGACAAAAAGAAAATTATATTAATAAATAAAAACATGCTGTAAACTTTATAAGGTGTACATGTACTGTATGAAACTTGTTTGTTCATATTAGTATTTTTTTTTGTATTTACCAGCCTATATATAAAGTTCTTATTATTATACATATGCAAGTTATTCCAGAAAGAAAATGTTACCATATTATGATGTAACCTGTACTGATATGCATTAAGATATTTTACAGGAATTATTACAATAATTATGTATAATCATTATTTCAGATTAATTTTTCTTTTATCAGTAATTCAATATATTTGATACCTTAAGCTGCACACTCCCAGATAAACCAAAATATTTCAAGGTAATCAAATTTGAGAAAAAAGAATCGAAATTTAAAGAAAAGTAAAAAGATTCAAGATAAAAGTAATAATTTCTATATTATATTTGATTTATGACAGATTTGGCAGTATTTTTCACCATATTTCTACTAAGTTATCATGGTTATTGATGCAGAATTTGAAAGGACTATTTTGCATATTTTTGCCTCCTTTTTAGTAATTAACATGGGTGGTAAGTGATGTTTGCAATGTGAAAATTATTTTCTTTGTTCATTTCACAATATTTTACTTTTTAATGCATATTCAATGTATTATGCCGTCATCAAACTTGTATCTGGATCATAACCTTTTTTAGTTCTTGGTGTATTGTCTTCATACTTGGCCACAACAACCCTTGGGACAAGACCTCTCAGTAGAACACACTGACCTTGACCTTCATCCATAAATGACCTTGACCATCATTTCTTTGTTTGCTTTTAGAAAAAGTAAAAAGGCAAGCATTGCCCCCGCCCGGCGGTGACTCTTGTATATTATTTATTTCAGTTTTTATAAGATATATCATTGGAAAAACATGTATCCATGAATTTGTAGAAATTGCACTTTTTTGGAATTTAATATTTAGATATTATTGTAAAGATTTATACAATAAAAAAAAATATATAAGAATTGTTAAATTAGGAAAATGAGGAAATCAAAAGATTCAAAACAAGGAAATTAAAGTTAAAAAATAAGGAAATTAAAAAAGAAATGAATAAATAATTGAAATAGTATGATAATCTTAATTATTTATAAGTACACAAAGATCTTTGACATAACTTCATACATGAAAACGATTTTTAATTTAATATTCCCAGACTAGGAAGAGTGTTTGACTTTGAATTGGGCAACTTGGGTTCAATTCCTGGATAGTGTATAGGTCACTGTCGTAATTGATCATGAAATCCTTTATACTGCTATTTGCACTGTAATACTACTTTGGCATGTAAAGAAGTTATAAATTCCTGGTGAAAGTGAAGGAAACTAGTACTGGTAAACTGCTTGACAAATCTGCCCAGGAACGATGCAATGGCAGAACAGTGCTCAGGTGCATTCAAAGTAGCTTACTGCCTGTGATCAGAAGGGTAAACTGCCAACACTACCATCTACTAGCAGTACTATCATACCATACATGATACGTATCAAAGTTAGTATCATTAACACATACTATAGTCAAACATTAACACTTTATATAATTGCCACAGTTGTTACCATGTATATGTACAGCATAATTAAATATGTTAGGTGAGTTTTATATGTTTACATATTTTTTTTCTTATTTCTATATTAATTCAATTTCTATATTTATTCAATAAATATTTTCTTATTTTCATTGTATATTTCTATAAAGGTTTTACAATAAAATGACTTTATTAATTCTGACTTGCATTGTGTATTATAAATTACTGGAGAGAGACGTGTTTATAGAAGATAAGTTATAACATAGGTGTGATAACTCTGATAATATATTTGTAAAGGTTTCATTTCATTACCTCCCTTTTTGAATTGTAAATACATTATGAATTATGTGCATCAGTAATTTTAAAAGTAAGAATAATCCCTACAATATAATGTACATAGTCAGATAGTCCATGTTCTATGTATTTTTAAAGAAATTTTTTTTTATAAAAATACAAGATGTAATCAAAGTCCTGAGGTGTAATTATCATTTGATCACATTAACAACCTTAGATACTAGTAAGTAAGTAAGTAAAGTCTTTATTTACTGAGGCTACACATTTGGTTACCCAATCTTCCATGTGGGCCTCAACTGAAATGATTTGAGGAGTTGATCTTACAACTAGCAATCAGTTCAAAGATCTGGAACATCTGATTCATTTGGAGCAATTTTTCTTGCAAAAATAAATCTGAAATATCTTACACAATATAAAACCAAAAAAAAAAAACATAAGGAAAAACAAATTGGTTAAAAATAATTATATTTATTTAAGAATAATGGGATGTAACAAATATTCATCAATAAAACTAATTAAGGACTTATAAAAAAAAGTTCTATAGCTAAAGAATTTGATAAAATTTACGAAAGACTAAAAGTGTTGATACAAATATAATATATATATATAATAATATACAAATATGAAGAGGATTTATTTAAGTTAAAAACCAACAAAATAAAACACGCTTTTAGTATCAAAATTCAAGAATTATTTTATGAAACCACAAAGATTCACAACTCTATACGTTTGAAATTGAAGTATATGGGCTGCCAATGGGACTGGGTGTATCTCGCGGTGTTGAACTACTGCTGTAAACTGTATTTGAACCAGTTCTTGGACGTATATTTATACGTGGTTTATTCATAGCACTTCTTGTTATTGTTTTATTGGGTATCTTCCGGCTCATGATAGCAGATGGTTTTTGAAAGTGTCTTACAAAACTGAACGGTCCAGGAATCCACGGACACACAACAAAAGCTTCCTCCTCACGATGTGGAAAATATGCACTGTAAATAGTTTTGAAACTACGTAACAGCCTCTCTGGCTGTATGACGTTAGCATACAGCCTATCCCAGTGATTCCATGCATTCTGTATTTCTTCCTGGCTCAGTTCAAGGTAATAATCATCAAGGACCTGCTCAGCCTAAAATAACAACAAATTGTACATAAATATAAAACTAGATGAGTTAAAAGGACACACACTTATAATGTTATATACCTTTCTGTCAATTTCTTAAGTATCAACCTTACCATCTACATAAAGTAGTTTGTTTTGATATTTGACTTTATAATGCCATTAAGTAGGAAAATTAGATTATTTTTTGCGACATCGTATAATTAAGAATTTTATAAATTAAAAAAATTCTATAGTTTATGATGCAATAAATCAAAACTTCTATAATTGTGATAAATGTGTGATGCATCAAAACTTGTCTACAGTTATAAATGAGACAAACCTTGGCTCTGATCCTATGTACATCATTACACGTTGGCTTTTGAGATAGTTGCATTTTAAGACTTGGCAAGGCAACATCAATATACTGAATTCTAGGGGTGGTCCATCCAAGAGCAAGCATTAAATTCTTCTTTTTTCCTGATATTTAAAAATAAAAAATATGTTCATTATAGATATATATCCTTAATTTCATTTAATTTTCACATAGAAATAATGGGTTAAAATATATATGCACAAATTTTAAGAAAAGGTGAAACTAAATGCACAATTCTAACACACTTCATAATATCAAACAGATAGGGCAGTCAAGTGCATGAATAAGGAATGCTAACACGTCATAATTGATGTCAGATATGACGTCAATAAACCAAATGAGCCGTGTCATGACAAAACCAACATAATGGGTTTGCGACCAGCATGGATCCAGACCAGCCTGCGCATCCGCGCAGTCTGATCAGGATCCATGCTGTTCACTTACTAACCCTATAACAAGTGGAGAAACTGATAGCGAACAGCATGGATCCTGATCAGACTGCGCGGATGCGCAGGCTGGTCTGGATCCATGCTGGTTGCAAACCCACTATGTTGGTTTTGTCGTGACACGGCTCAAATGATGTTGGGGGAAATTTCTTCTACCTTCAATGTAGTTACATATTTTTATCAATTCTCATTTTTGATTAGCATGTTAGAATGGAAATAGATATTTAATACTTCAAGCATTATAGTATAATAATGCACGTTTTTTTGTTCAAATGCTTTGTAATTAATCACTCAGAACTCAGACCCGAGTGATTATATCCCTATGCAACTGAACTCGAAACGTGCATTTTCTCAGAATTTATATCTAGTTCCGAAATACATGTAGTATCATTTAGTCTATGCAATCTGTCTCCTCGTTTGAAAAAAAACAAAACAATATTCTCTTTTTTGCCTTTGTTATTCAAAAGCCCTTAATTGTTGTATGCATTTATGAAACTTGAAACTTAACATGAAACTTATCTACACTGAAAATGTATAATCTGTTTGTCTTTTTGTTAATTTTCAGGAAAATGCTTATATTGTTACGAGATTATTATAAAACATAAACCTGTGAAATCTCTAGTCAGAGTACTAATCTTATCTTATGTGCCTTAAACTGCTGATGTCCAGACATACTGAATGGGCAATGATTATAATGAATTCACAACAGTGCTAAAAGACTCACAAAACTGTATACCCTTGACACTTATAACTTACAAACATTCATTCAAATGTTACTCACTTTTCTGCATTTTCCTCTCATCCTCACTAGCAGTGGCATAAATACCTTCTTTTTGCTTTGTACCCGATGGTTGTAAGCCTGTTGGACTTTTCTTATCATAAGAAGGCTTTACCTTGTTGAGGGAAGGAAAGGTTGATATGTGACTGTCCTCAGGTGTCTGCAGCTTCTGCTCTTTGAATTTGGCCTTCACTTTATTGTAATAAAAATAAGATCTGATCAATAAATTGTTGTTGTGCTATTCATTATTATATAGATATAAAAGCAATACTGTGAAATTATTTATATTCGAGGGCATAAAAGTTTTTGGTTTGCGGACTAAAAGCAATTTTATAATGGAGTTGTAAATTTGAGGTATCCAGTTCCCCAGGTAGAAAAGATAAGAGGCTGTAAATTCGTGAATGTCAACTTTCGGTAATATTAAAAACTAAAAGCACCAAATAATTATCCAGCATTTGTGATAATATATTGTTGATGTGCAAGAAAATTTTATCTCTACCTGAAAAAACAACTGAGGATACCTTCCTATGATAATTAAACGATGATCTGTGTTCACAATTAACAAGTGTCATTTATATTCTATAATCTTATGCGCAACTGTTAAATTGTAAAAATTTAAAGAATTGTGTAAAAACTATACTTATGAATTTAAAGAGACTAAGATGTGAAAAAGGTTGCCTTTCTGTCTGTGATGATGCAGTCTTAGATTATTTTAGCTACACAGTCAAGACATTTACGATGTACTGTTCAAACATTGAGAACCGTAAGTGCTCATTTTTTAAATGTGTCTATATGCCTGTAATTGCATTTGGCTTTTCGATCAGCATATTGACGATGGTAAAATCACTGATATTATGTCTAATACATTATGTGCTGCTGCATTGTTATTGTCATTGTGAATGATTATGAATAATTACAAATAAATGCTCAGTGCATGACTGTTGTTCTTATTTATAAGTTCTAGTATTCATGATACCATACGAGAAATCCAAAAATATGCTTTGTAATTGGCACAAGGTGTTGAGAGCAATAAACAGTTTACAAATTTTAGCAAACAAGTTTTAAGTGCATGCTTTAATCAACAATTAATTTATGAATAATGTATCCTTTACCTGATCCAAGCTTTTTCCTCAGCTGCATGAAGATATCTGAATTCTTATCAGATTCAAGACTTTCATGAGCAAACGTTATCATGGTGTCCTGAATTTCCCTCGTCAGATTGTCTTGTTCCTCTCCCACACTTTCTTTCTGTTGAAGGTCTCGGCAAGAACCTGGCATTTCCTTAATTGTCTTTGTTTTCTTTCTTTGGACGATACTCTTTGTCCCTTTCCTACTAACATGGACAAATTGAAGAGGTTTCGCGTAAGGAGAGTCAGTGTTTGCAATAGACCTTTGCATCCTCTCCATCTGTCGTTCAAGTTGACGTGTTGTGAGCCCAATTAAACGAGCACCTGCCGTGTAATGACCAATCACATGAGGTGCCTGTTTACGGAATTGTTTCTCTATATCTGCAAGGGTATGTTTGATGGAGAAACATGTTATCGTCTTATAAAACATTTCCTTTCGCCTTGATTTCTTTTTTCGTTGTTCTTCATCTTCTGCAAAGAAGACATTAGTAATATTTCATTATTATTTTTGTTATAATTATTTTTTAAAATTTATGTGATGACAGAGACTTATATTACAAATAAAAATTGGAAAACAAATTAAATAATTAAAAAAAAAAATTTTAATAATAGATACAAGAATTTTTAAAACCCTGGGCATATAGTTAAATTCAACCGTCTGTCCATCCTTACGAGGTTAACCTAAATGGCAAGTTGGATTTTTCTCAAGTTCTATGTATACCAATGGCTTTAAACTTTACACACTTTCTAATCAACACAAAGTACATGATCTGGGCAAGTTACATAACTATGGCTTTCATTTTTACCAAGTAATTGCCCTTTTCAGCATGTGAAAATGAATAATTGGTTAACCTAAAATGGCAAGTTGGATATATCTTAGGTTCTATCTATACTAATGGCTTTATAATTACCACACATACTTATCAATACAAAGTACATGATATTGCCAAGTTAGATAACTGTGCCATTCATTTTTCCCAGTTATTTCCCTTTTTATAACTTTCAAAATAGGACCTTGTAAGCAGGTTAACCTATTCCGGCAAGTTGGATTTATCTTAAATATCTCCTAATTACTTAATTTATTTAATGATATCTTTCATATTTGGTAGGTGGATGGAGAAAGGGGTCTCTAGGGTCAAGGTCACTGGTGTAAAAAATAAAATTTTAACACTTTTGCTCATACAGCCCTTTTTTAGCTCACCTGTCACAAAGTGACAGGGTGAGCTTTTGTGATCGCTTTTCGTATGGCGTCCGTAAACTTTTACTTTAAATGACATCTCCTCATAAACCGCTGAGCCAATTTCATCCAAACTTCACAGGAATGTTCCTTTGGTGGTCATCTTTAAAAATTGTTCAAAGAATTTAATTCCATGCAGAACTCTGGTTGCCATGGCAACCGATAGAAAAAACTTAAAATATCTTCTTTTAAAAAACCCAAAGAGGTAGAGCTTAGATATTTGGCATGAAACATCTTCTAGTGAGTGTCTATCAAGTTTGTTCAAATAAAAGCCCTGGGGTCAAAATTGGCCCCGCCCCAGGGGGTCATTGTTTTTCCCTATATGCATATAGTAAAAACTTAAAAAATCTTCTTTTAAAGAACCCAAAGAGCTAGAGCTAAGATATTTAGCATGAAACATCTTCTAATGGGTGTCTACCAAGTTTGTTCAAATAAAAGCCCTGGGGTCAAAATTGGCCCCGCCCCAGGGGGTCATTGATTTTCCCTATATGCATATAGTAAAAACTTATAAAATCTTCTTTTAAAGAACCCTTGCACAACTTGCTGCCTTTGTATTTTCTTTTACCAATGTCTCATATTTACAAGGAACATACCTAAGGTTGTCCTTTAAGTTTGATATTCCGTCCTCAACTGAGTGAATGGGTTTACATTTTTTTGAAATATTGTTACTGACAAAAATCTAAGCTGGGGGCATTTGTGTTTAACAAACACTTTCTTGTTTAGATTTTAATTTAAGTGTTCAAAAACAGGGGGGAAACAAATGTGAATATATACCTTCCCCTACTTCATCCCCATACAGATTTCCACCCAAGTTTGTCATATGGACCAAGAACTCATCAAAATCTATCTCGCCATTGCCATCCTTGTCCACTTTTTTCAGTACATCTTCAACTTCTTCGTATGTGATCTCACTATCGACACGACTCAGTTCCGCGTACAAGTTTTCTGCTGTGATGATGCCAGTATTTGATTGGTCCAGCATGTTGAATAACTAAAAAAAGCAACAAATTAAAAACTTGTTGAAGAAGGTCAGATTGAATGACTTATTTATAAAGCTAATTTGAAAAGGACCCTGACAATTTACTATTTTATAAGGCCAAGGAAAAAGTATGCTCCTAGCAAGAAAAGGATAAGATCAACAAGTACAATGTATAATTAGGTTTAGTGAAAGAGACCCAAAACAGAACTTTTATTTTTGTCTAATATATGATTGAAAGCTTAGCAGTTTTGACCTACGTTTGGAATGTCTAAATGTCATAACCTCCCAAGACAGATAGGGGCTTTTGAGGTGGTTAAATTTTTTTGTCAAACATAAAAGTCATGAGTCAAAGGTGACATTTTCTAGACATTTTAATGTGTATAAATTCATGACATACTTCTCTGAAGTCTTGTAAATCATCACCTGAAAAACAAATATACAGAATACAGTTGTTATTTTATACTTTTTACATGATGCATGATTTGTGCACTTTAAACATATGCATTGATTTTGACCAAAATATTATTTATACAAAAATGTACATGTAAACCTGACAGTTATAGTTTGAATACATGTAATTCTCTTACATTTTAACAATCCTGCTGTCATTGTATACTAGTATTTTAAAATAGATTTAAAAAAGTAAATACCAGACAAGGTACATAGGACATAACCATAACAAACTTAGCACACTAATTAATATTCTTACAAATACCCTGGTATGCCAAAACTTGATTGAATATAATACACCTACCATATATGAGCAGAGCCGCGTCACGACAAAACCAACATAATGGGTTTGCGACCAGCGTGGATCCAGACCAGCCTGCGCATCCGCGCAGTCTGATCAGGATCCATGCTGTTCGCTTACAAACCCTATTACAAGTAGAGAAACTGATAGCTAACAGCATGGATCCTGATCAGACTGCGCGGATGCGCAGGCTGGTCTGGATCCATGCTGGTCGCAAACCCATTAGGTTGGTTTTGTCGTGACACTGCTCATATACCTACCATCAGTACCATCATTGCTTACAACACTGTCTCGCTTTCCACTGGGACCCTTTTTCCCTTTGTTTTTGTCCTTCTGATCACTCTAGAAAAAATTTAAATTTCAAATAATATGTGCCACTGCGATATGAAAAGTTAACTAAACACTTTGTACATTTTATTTACTTGTAAGTAATTTATAATACAGAAGTAAATGTGTATGAGTAAAATTGGAGTGTAAAATATAGACTATTCACAAAAAAGATGATAAATTTTCAACTTGTAAGTCTATGTTACAGATAGTTGGATCCTTCATATTACTGGACAAAACATGATGTTTTTTTGCTGTAACTTAATTTGAAACCATAAAAAAAGAATGGAATTTTGTCCAATAGATTTTAGGTTCTTAATACACATATAGGTTACTTTATCAAACACAAAATTTATCATTTTTACCATAAAAAAGTGTCTTTTAAGTAGGGCATTATAAGAGAAAAAAAATGTGTACATTAGAAGACTCAATTTACCGAACATTGTGTTTCAAAATATTTTGAAGTCGAGAATTGAACTTAATCTTTAAATAATCAGCATTGAGCAAGTGAACTTTGATTGTTGAATGGCAAGGTTAAGATATTGGAAAAAAAAAAAAAAAATTCATTAAGAATATATAATATAGACAAGGCAGCCAATGCTTGTTGTGAAGAGGCTTAAATATGGAATGTATAGGAGATTAACATTACTAATTCAATTAATGTCTTGATTCTTCATAAATCATTAAAAGTATTAAAAATTTTAATATTCAATTGAAATCCTGTTCTTTGTCATACAGTTTCATTTTGGTCATCATGAATTAAGCCTCTAAAAACCAGACAATTCAATTTATTTTCATTTCATGTAGTTTCCTCCCTTGGTTTGAAAAATTGGACGTGACCCATTTCCCTTATAATGATATATCATTATGGTTTTTAATTTGTATGTCTTTGTAAAAGACAACAACGAAATACTGTTTTGACTAAATTTAAAGGAACTCCACTAAGGTTAAAAAGCATAAAAATATATAATTTGAAATTTTACATAGTCACAGGGCCTTTTCACTAGTTTTGGGGAAGATGACCAAGCCCTTTTTGTTGGAAAAATTGTGTGATTTTCTCACTTTCGGGGAAAATATCATAGTCTATTCGCATGATTATTTTCCTTTAAATTAAAGTCTACTTTAATACTTACATGACTGTAGCTTTTTTTATTTTCAAGCTAATTTATTGACATCAGCATTTTCCTATATATCATACACATACACATTTTAAATGACTTTATCATATTAGCCACGACACAGGAGTGTAATAAACTAATTAAATAAAGACTATATTACACTACTGTAGATAGATCTATATAGATTTAATATTAAATTTATTGAACACTGAACAAAACATGCATACACTGTATCCCCCTCCCGCTGGTGGGGGTCCGGAAAATTTTGAAAAGTAAGATGTTAAACAGTGGGCTCTGGCATGTCTTGAAGCGCCTTTCCCATGTAAAACATGACACATTTGTTTACTTTTTAACTTATTTCATTATAACTTCGAACAACTTTGTGAAGTAAAAAGGCAGTGTTCGCCTTGTAGTTATCTTATTTTACATGTGCATATACATACACAACAATTTTTCCATGTGAAGTTTGACCGAGGATGCACGTTCAATTGTAATCCAGGTCTTGTGAATTCAGTTTTGTTTTTCTCGACTTGAATGGGCCATTAGGGTCCTGTTTTAACACCTTAAACAGGGTTGCTTGTGTTTCTTTTCATCTTGAGAACTAAGTAACCACACACCAACAATTAAATTTTGCCCTGAGATGATGACTAAAATCTAGATCTATAACTTTAAAGATTTAAAGTCATTTTAAAATAGAGCTATTCCAAAGGAAACGATCTAGAAAGGATTGGTTTAAATCTTTAAGAATAGTCTTAATAATCTTTTTTTCTGAGTTAACGATAAGTTATTATGAGCCCAGCTGTGTAAGACATGAGATTCCTTATGTCCATGTAGATAAAATTAATGCTGACTTTTACATTTATCTCTATGCAATAAGTTTGCAAATGCTTTGATTTAGGAGAAACTTAAATTTCTATTGCACATACCGTAAAATTCCTATTAAACGCCTTGGGGGCTAAACATTTTCCAACTACTATTATTACGACACAGTTTTTCCTAAATCCAAAAATCACTGTTAATACATTTAGTGTTAACAATTCAGTGTTGGTAATAACATTAAAAAGTGTTATTAGGTTTTAAAGTTCACATTATACATATTCGTGTTTACTATAAAATACTATAGATTCTGAATGATTTGAATAAAATTATGGCTTTAATAAAGTATGAGTTAAGCACTGATGAGTAGATTGTTTTCCTTATCAAAAAGCCTGGGGGGCCTCTATTAGGGGAGGGGCGTTTATTAGGAATTTTCCGGTAGATAACAATAATTACTAGAAACGTTATACGATCAAGAGTGAGGCAATCATAGTTTACACTCGAAAATAGTACAAATAATTACGTCATAAAATAAAATATTTTATAAACAGAAATGATGATCTAGATATATAGCGATAAAATCATTAAAACTTAGATCTTCTCAGTTTTATTTTTTTTACCTTCGGAACTTTTTTGTACGCAATTACGTATTGTGTGTAATTGGCACTACGGCCTAGAATGGGGTCCATTTACTGTAAAATATCACACTAACTTACATAATAATAAATAAATTATAAAGAAGTTAAAATAAATGACAATTTTTGCAAAATTATTCAACAATCAAGACCCATTTTTCAATATAATAAGACAAGTACATTGCTTGTACACAAACAAAATGAATTAAATTTCGCATAAACTAATACATTATCAAATACAACATAAACATGTTACAAATCCTCATCATAAGTTACACATCAATTTAATAAAAAATAAACATATTATTCACTTGTTTATCATTTTCATTAGATCTACTTAAAGAAAGTTTTCTTTTCTTTTTAAATGTTTGGATATTGTCAATTGACCTAATGGCAATGTTGTCGGGTAAAGAATTCCAGTATTTAAATAAAAAAAAGTTTTTCAGTATGAATTCTTAGCCTTGTAAATACTTTTCATTATGACCTCGTAGTTGTAGTCTGTTGAAATCCTAGAATTTATGGCCAAAAGCGAATAATTCAGGCCAAAACAGGGGTTACATTATTTAGAGGTTAATACTTGGTTGCTGCTCGCCATTATGCGATAATGGCCCGAAGATGTGCGTAATGGTCTGAGGGCCGAAGGCCCGACGGAAATTATGGACTCAAGGGCCATCATCGCATAATGCCGAGCAACAACCAAGTATTAACGTCTTTAATACCTATGTCCAAAATACGGCATTTAGACATCGCCGCTGATCTTGGTTGTCGCACTTTCTAAGAAACGAACAGTTGTCAATGTAAACAATTATCTGTCATTCAGTTTAACCTTCATTACTACTTTGAAAACATGACAAAACAAACAGAAATATGAGACAATATTGTTTTATTGTTGTTTATATCAATAAATACTCTATATATTTTTGTAAGAATAACATTTAGTGCCAGTTTTTTATGAACTTTTGTGCCTTCAAGAACGGTTTCCGAGACCGATGTCTAGCTCTATTTGCCATCGATCCGATCTTTTTTTTACCCTCAAAATGAAATCGTTTTTGGAAATTCTGAGGGTCATGTTTTATCTTGAGTAGAGTTATTGTATTATTTTCTGAGTTTATAAATCTTCAATGCTAAGCTTTGTTGATAGAGACTGATTACGTCATTTAAACTTAACATTTTGTGTTCAAGTGACTACAGTTCATTCAACGGCAGCAGCCATCTTGAAAGTCACTGAGAGTTGATTACCTCATTTTGTATGTGCGCTCATTCACTCGCCCATTATGGAAAAATAATGCCGAGTAGCAAGGCGGCCGTAATTGCATAATGACCTAGATCTTGGCATAATGGCCCTGAAATACCCTAACAAATAGATTTTGTTACTATATATAGTAACATAGGTATTAATAAGATTTTATTCTGTTCATACAGTTGTTTAGGCAGTAGCGGATAGCTAAAGAGATCGGCGCTGCTTATGTCGTTAATAATAATATTCAGAAAATCAAATTGATACCTTTCAGTAGTCAAACTTTAACTTCCCTTTTTAAAATAAAATATTTTTAGCAGTATCTTTGACATTATATGTAGTACTCTTTGTTTATGTTCGGCATATAGTTCAGTTAGTAGCGGATAGCTTTGGGGAGTATGGGATAGGTAGGTGAAGGTCAATGAGGAGGAATCTCAAAACGTTCTAAATTTAGTATTTACAAAGTACATGTCACAGAAATATGTTCTGGATTTACTGGAATGAAAAATGTTACATTTGATAGTAATCTTTCAAATTTTTCTACATGTAAACCAAGGATATATATTATATGGCACATGATTTTACAACAATGCTTATTCAGATCAACGATTGGCATTTTCTCTTAAAACAAATCACAGACAAATCAAACAGAATCATATCAAACATCAGTTCTGGAGTTTTATGTCCATGACATTTCCTTCTGACATAATGGGAAGTGTGTCAGATAACATATGAACAGTGTCATCCAAAGTGTTTAAAAACAAGGTATAACAATGCCACCATCTTTTTTTGTTTGAAATTGTTCAATGTGGAAAAGTGGGAACTAGTTCACCTGTTGCATTGACAAAGATTGTTGCATTGTCAAGTACATTGCTAAAGCAACTTGCTAAAATCTTTGATGCATGGCCAATAGGTAGCCCTGCAATATCAGACAACATTAAGTTTCTTTGTTTATCTGTAATTAAAGTGTATAAATGTTTGTCAAATGATGTTTAAATTCTGGCATCAACACTCGGGCATCAATGTCTTAAATATTAGTGTATTCTCTGTCAATAATTAACCTAGTCTGTGGTTCAGTGACCAGCTATAATTTTGAATTTCATACTATTAGATATTTTTATATATGTATCAATAGGAACATATAATCTTTTAAAAAATGTACATACTTTCTAAAAATAAGTAGAAAAGTAGAGAAGTACTTCTTCTTTGTACCTCTGGCTCTTTTTACACATGGACTTTCATTTGATGGTTTCTTCTTACAGGGTTAACCCATCATTGGATTTTTAAAATGAATGTAAAAAAATGGTTAAACTAGAACTGTGTCAAAAGGACACGGATGCCCCCACTGACAACATTTATATGGTATATAGTGAAAAAATCAACAAAGGGCCATAATTCTGTTAAATTTGGTCGCAGCAAAAAGGTTGTTCATCCCTGGAAGTTTAAGCAAAATCTGCCATTCGGTTTAAGAGGAGTTGCGTTCACAAAATTTCTATATGGTATATCGTGAAAAAATCAACAAAGGGCCATAATTCTATTAAATTTGGTCGCAGCAAACATTAATTCCTTCCTTTACTACCATCTACACATTAAGCTTGTTCATCCTTGGAAGTTTAAACAAAATCTGCCATCTGGTTTAAGAGGAGTTGCGTTCACAAAATTTCTATATAGTATATAGTGAAAAAATCAACAAAGGGCCATAATTCTGTTAAATTTGGTCGCAGCAAAAATTCCTTCCTTTACTACCATCTACACATTAAGGTTGTTCATCCCTGGAAGTTTAAGCAAAATCTGCCATCCGGTTTAAGAGGAGTTGCGTTCACAAAATTTCTATACAGTATATAGTGAAAAAATCAACAAAGGGCCATAATTCTGTTAAATTTGGTCGCAGCAAAAATTCTTTCCTTCACTACCATCTACACATTAAGGTTGTTCATCCCTGGAAGTTTAAGCAAAATCTGCCATCCGGTTTTAGAGGAGTTGTGTCACAAAATTTCTATATGGTATATAGTGAAAAAATTAACAAAGGGCCATAATTCTGTTAAATTTGGTCGCAGCAAAAATTCCTTCCTTTACTACCATCTACACGTTAAGGTTGTTCATCCCTGGAAGTTTAAGCAAAATCTGCCATCTGGTTTAAGAGGAGTTGCGTTCACAAAATTTCTACATAGTATATAGTGAAACAATCAACAAAGGGCCATAATTCTGTTAAATTTGGTCGCAGCGAAAATTCCTTCCTTTACTACCATCTACACATTGAGGTTGTTCATCCCTGAAAGTTTAAGCAAAATCTGCCATCCGGTTTAAGAGGAGTTGCGTTCACAAGATTTCGGGACGTACGGACAGACGGACGGACAAGTGCAACGCTATATGCTCCCACTCTGTGGGGGCATAAAAATTATGATATAAAACTATTGGTAATATAATTATAGATTTTTTAAAGAAATAACTATGGCAAACTATAGTTATGTTCAAACTATTACATGTCACACTTGCATCATAAGTTGTTGACCAGATATTTATTTATTTACTTGTAAATAACTTTATTTATTTAAAAATTATTTATTTAATTATTTATTTATTTTGTAATTTTGTAACATCACAGTATACAGGCAATGATAACTATAAAATATGTTGCAATTTAACAAATAAAAACAATATTTCCTAAGATCTGTATAGATGAATTAAAAAGTAAACTATATATTCTGAATACATAAATTACAAAAAATGTGCAATAAACTTGAGCTGAGCATGTGTATTGTGTATGAAAAATGAAACGACAAATTTCAATGAAAAAGAGGTCTGTTTTACATAAACATTTAAAAGCTATTATTAATCTTATAATCTAGTTGAAAGAAGAGTGAGTTAATAATGATGGTATATTCAAAGTATCAATACAACTGAGTTAAAATTATAAAAAGATAGAATAAATAATATTATAACATTAAAACTGGGATATTTGTTTTGTTAAAAGTGTACTTTTAATCCACTTTTGACGGCGTTTTGACAGATAAAGTAAATTTTGAGACCACCCCCAAATGTAAAATCCGTTACTGACAGAAGCACTTGCTATTCATTTTCAAAAATTTTAAGTGTCAGTACGTGTTATATCTGTAAAAGCTTTTCAAAAATTATAAACACATGATTTTTACCCCAAATTATGTCAATATTTCATTACTTTACTTAGTGTTGATCAATAGTTTTCGGTTAATTTCTTTTGGAAGCGCTTATAAACAGTCTGACGGTGACAACATCCGGTTACCTCGTTCTGATTTATGTAAGAAAAATTCGCTGTGCAATTTGAAATAAATAAAACAAAATTAGCGACGGATGGGAAATATATCACTCTTTTTGATGGTATAATTGTATTATTTTGAAAAAGGCATATTTGATGGAAGGGAGCATTGCTATTACCATGTTATCCGCTATACCCTAAAATCCGCTACTGCCTAAACAACTGTACATGTCATACTTACTGCTGTTTCTCCTTTATTTGATGGCTGCTTCCCAGCAAGACGTAATAACATTGTACTCGCATCTGCAGAGATGCTTGATTTCATCGTATTATCTGCAACGCCCAGGGAGTTCGACATTTTTTTTGAAGTTTCGCGCGAAAAAAACTACATGGTTTTAGATGTTTCCCTTTATGACGTCACGTTACTAGATAGTTTCTGCGTTTGATTTTCGTGACTGTTAAGGTTGAAATACTTGAAATTTCATATTAACCGAGTTTACACTGAACTTGGTCCGACATTTTATTTTTTCGGTATATATATAACACAGATATTACTTCGTGGTATGTGAAAAGATACAGGTAAAAATGTCATGTTGGTGAATTAAGACGAGACAGGCTCTTTCTTATCTATTTGTAAGACAATGCGCGATCTATTACTGAACATATTCCGACTTTTTCACTCAGACAGATGAAATACAACCAAGTATACAACTCGATCGGCGTACTTCTGTTAATATCGTGTCTCACATGTCACCCGGTCCTTGCAAAAATGTTTTCTATTTTATTTCATGCACATTCTTTAAGATGGTCACTTCCAACTGCGATTATGATTGGATCATCACCTACATTCATAACATTGTGGGGTGCAATGAGAATTCTGACATTATGTTTGCCTCGTCGCATTTACACATCAGCTGATGACTGCCTCTACTCACTGTATCAGAAGCTGATCCTGTTTTTCTTCCATACTTATACTGGAGCAGAGGTAAATAAGGCCAAATTTTCAAATTGTTTAAGAATTTTAAGTAGATGAAGCAATGAATGAATCCGTATATATATGATAATCACCAGTAAAAAGTTGTACCACTTACAAAATACCAAGCATACCCCTCGATCGACTTACTTATGTTAATATGTGTTGTTTTGGTGTATTTTAACTGATTACAAAATACGGGACAGTCAAAGACATGGCCCACAAAGTCTTAAACAATGAAATGCGAAACATGTGTATAAAATAAATTATTTTTTTAAAAAATTATTTTCTTCATCTATTTATTAAACAGTAGCCATTAAACAAACTTAAGTAATTGTGGTGTTATCTCATTGCCTAATTAGTTGCATAAACACTGAGACAATCAACTAACAGTTTGACACCACTATTGAATCAGTTGTATAAACACTGCACTTAAGCATCAACCCCAGCAAGCAAAAGACGTTGTACCAACGTTGTACTGACGTTAGACCCTGACGTTGGGTAAACGTTGGCAGAAGGTTGGATTTGAAAGTTTTTTAGACGTCAGAAACCGACGTCTATACAACGTAATAAAATGACCTTTATCCAACCTTTTCTGACCATAATCCAACCTTTTCTGACTATTATCTGACCATAATCCAACCTTTTCTGACCATTATTTGGACATAATCCAAACTTTTTCTGACCATAATCCAACCTTTTCTGACCATTATCTGACCATATGCAAACCTTATCTGACCAAATTTTCTTACCATGATTTAACCTCATTCAAAACTTTTGGAATATGATTTTTTTCATTTTGAAGCTCTTTAATAGGGTTAATGAATAAGCATTCTTATGATTTTAGCAATTTATTTTATACTCGGAATCACAAGACTTAGTACAAAAACAAGAAATGTGGTACTATAACAAATGCAAGATTTACATAATATTTTTTTTGAAACTATTAAACTTGACGGTATGTAACTTTAATAATGCTTTCATGTATTAATTAAGGCATGTTTAGAAATAAGATAAACAAAATCCTTCTTGAATATTAACACTGACATTTTATATAGCAAAACATCCATGCATGTGTTTTTTCTTATATCACCACTGAACTGATCACTCTGAGTTTGGGATTTTTCAATCATCTATCCAACTCACTGATTGTATATTTGTCTTTGTATTTTATAACTGAAATCTAGATCTGAATGTTAAATGGAACAATATTCTGAATATTTTGTTATAACTATAAATAGCAATGTTCATGTATCTTCATTAGTATTCTAGCTTCTTTCGTCCTCCTACATTATGTCGATCTGGGGCATACTATAAGCGTATCATTACCGTCTCCAACCTGAGATCTCATCACACTTTCTGAAATTAAAAAAAATAAAATAATCAGTTTACAAGTGCAAGAAATAAATCACTTATACATATTAATAATTAAACGAAAATTCTAACAAAAAACTCTCCAACTACTTAAAAAAGATACTTATTATTTTTAATTTAGTTTAAACCATGTAGTTTTCGTGTACCTACTGTATATATCTATTAATTTTGATAAAAAATGGCTTCGTGAATTTCATTATAAAATCAAGGGTAATAAGATCACTGTATTTCTATATATATATATAATATTTTGAAATATATACCTGTCACAAAATCTTTGGTAAGGTTTTCATTTTTCTTTTCCTCTAAATATTTCATCTTCCCTCCTGAACTTTTGACACATGTTGAATTATCATAATTTTCACAATCTGAAAGACGAAATATAATCGTTTTAGAAATTTAACCATGTGGTGGAAGGATGTTTGTCTAATACAATAGGCAAAATCAATTACTATTAATCTTAGTTAACTCATAAGCGCATGAAAAACTGATATAACAAATACCAAAATGAAATTAATTCTACTCCCGCAAAAATTGATATTGTTATTTTTTTATATTCAATGTACTTTGTACAAATGCTCATACAACATCAAAAGAAATTCACATGTTACTGGTCATTTTTATAGATATTAATCTCTGCCCAGCATGATCAGGTCTGCTAAGTGTATATAGGACAGACTGGCTTAGTGTAAAAACGTTTTATGATACGAGCATACAACTTGTTGATAAGCAGGCTAATTAAACAAAACTAATTACTTTTATTGATTTATAACTATGATAATGTGTTTTCTGATTGATAATATGTTGTTTGATTACATTAATAAAAAGATAGCTAGTCAAATACAATGTGCTTTCAGATATATCTTACCAAAGTCGTATCATTTACATGAATCATTTTCATAATATAAGAGACACATGGTATGCTAACAGTATGGGTAAAGTACTTCAATTAACAACGAATAGTTTAACAACTACACAGATATCAAAATCAAACTGCATCTGATACATGTGTAAATGACTGGCCCCTCATATAAGGGAAATTCATGTTGATAAGAAATAAGAAAAATTTTATTTACCAGCATTTGAATAATAAGAGTCTTACGTATTGCATTTAACTTTTTATTGATTTCAATTGCTAGGATATTTCCTACCATTGATTGTGCATTAATTTGGCATGGCGATATAGTGTGGGAAAATGATCCGGTTATACTGTTCTATAGCAAATGATAAAGTGTTCTTACGGGAAACAAAATTATTTATCTCGCGAAATCACGTTACATTAAGTTTACCAGTCAAAACATTTCAATGATCAAATAAACCATCGAATCCATGCAAACATGCGGTAAAATTAGCATTTTGAAAAACAATATATAATGTTTGCCTACCTTTTTCTTTTGTTTGGAATATACAACTTTGTCTGTCAACCCGTCGTTTTTTTATCCGCCAATACAATTGAAAAATTAAAAATATCAGATTACCGATAAGTCCACAGCCAAATTCGAAATTTACTAAATTATTTACCACTATAAAAATGAAGCCCTCAAAAATGATAAACAGCTCATTGTAAATTATATAAACACTTCTTAGAAACTAATTCGAGGAGATGAGATATTATTTAAACGAAAATATAGCAAATATTATTTCATACTGATCTGCGTCTATCCGTTTACAGAGCGCCACTTAATATTCGAATATCGTACGTTAGGCCACCCACGTGATACTGTTGTTTTAATGGAGAAAATAAATATATAATGTTCCCTTTCTAAACTTAAACTTAAAATTTTCGCTGTTTATGCTTTCATTTATATATATAATATTTGGTTTCATAAATTAAATTCACCTATTGTCAGATTACCGACCAAAACCCGACGTCGAGTCGACGTCAAAAATGAAACGTCTGTTAGACGTCGGGGATTCAACGTCGATTTGACGTTTGTATGAAAAGGTCACCGACGTCGCGACCCAAAATTCAACGTTGATCCAACGTTGGGTCAACGTCGGGTGTTTTGCCTGGGAACAGTTTACTAATGAGTTGTTTATTGGACCATTAAAATATTTTTTGACGACAGGCAATTTAAACACAGAAACTTCTCCATAAGTTTTGTTTATATAATAATGAATTTTTGTCACAAAAAAATGATTATACATGACCAAATATTGAAAAAGTCCCAATGCTTCTAATTTAATTTTAAAGATATTTTTTTCTGATTTCAATGGCCATTTAAACTTTTTTGACATTTATCGCAAAAGCACTATACTAGCATTAAATAATTTAAACAAAATTTTTATCCCATGTTAAAAACAAAAAAAAATGTTATGCTTTTAAATTAAAAAATTGCCTTATTGAGTCCATGTTTACAAAAGATCAAAAAATATTTTTTCTTTAAGTGAAATAATGTGATAATGCCACATATGAATCAAAGAACTTTGAAAAAACACTTTTTCAAAAACAACAATAAAGAAGATAAGATAACTGAAATGATAGAACTTAAAGTAACTGAGTTTTTAAGTCATTGACAAAGAAAGTAATATCCCCCTTTTTAATTTATTTTTTTATTAAATTTAAGGTCTATTTTAGTTCAATTCAATTCAATATTTTAGGTCTATTTTAGTAAATCATAAGTATCAAAATAATTTTGGTATAAAAAAGGAGTGAATCGTCTTCAAGACGTTTCACTCCCATTTGGGAGTGAAACGTCTTGGTGTGAATCGTCTCAATAGTGTAACGTCTGTCTACCAGAATTCTATAACTATATATGAAATTTTCACTGTCAGCTCTAGTTGGCCGCCACCATTTACAATGTAATTCAATGATAATAGGCGGGCTATTCCAAAAACAGAACAAATCTCAACTTTTCGGATTCATAATGTTCCGAGTGAAAATGGAAGCTGTGCATGAAATGACAAATGACAGCTTTAGAACAGAAAAATGAAAGAAACTTTTTAAATGACTTTCCCGTTTAAAGGTTTTGCCTAATTTCATATAAGGCTAGACTTTAGGGAGCACTTTTAGAATCTGTCAGCAGCAAAATCAATGTTTTGAAATATTAACCCTTACCCAAAACACTAATATCTCCCTTTTAACCATGTTTTGAACGAAGTATGTACATGCATCGCATTGATGGTTGTGTAAGCTCTCAATTGATACAATACATATGTAAATCAGTTCAGTTTAGCTTTGACAATAGCTTGATTGACGCTATCTACTTGTGTTAATACATACTAAGCTAAAATGGTTGGAAAAAAGGTTTCCTTTCACTGACCAATTTGGCAAATATGGTTCTACATGTATATCAAGAACTGCTGTATTCTTGGTATACAGGCGAAAGACATATTAAATGAAATATGTCGTGTTTATGGGAACAATGAACTTTCTTTTTCATCTGTCTTAGTAAATAAAAATTAAGGGGGTCATCTTGTTTGAAATGGCTGTCTTGTTATCATAGAACCCTTATTTTACATGTCTGGAGAATTATATTTAAAATTCATAAGTATTGAATTTGTGATAATGAATTTGACACTAATAAGTAATACATTAGTAATACATGTAGATTTAATTAACTTGAAGATCAGCTTTTAGATATTGTTGGTGCTTTTTTTCGTGCAGAATATGTTAATCAGTATTAATTTATATAATACATGTATTTAGCCAGATATACATATCATACAATAATAACCATGATGGAGTGACAGTGTTGATTTTTTTTTTCTTCCTCGATAGGTGCAGGTGTATGGTGATGTAGAAGCGTTGTTAAATGAAAAGAAAAGTGTCATCTTTATCTGTAATCATCAGTGTACTGGTATGAACAGCCTTTTATAGCATATTGTAATGATTTTTAGCTCAATTTAGAAAAAAAATTTTATAGAGGTATTGTTACAGTCATGTCGGTGTTGCCGTCCCAGTCTGCAAACTTGTACCTTGATCATAACTTTTTAAGTTCTTGGTGTATCGCCTTCATACTTTTGAATTTTTTGAAATAGCACAATTTTGTGCTTCATGTAAAACTTCCTTTAGGTGGGGAACGTTGGTAACTCTGTTACAAATTCTTGTTTTACTAGTAATATTTTCATTTTAGTTATTAATATTAAAGTTGATTTTTCATTGTTGTATTAATTAAACATAATTAAAGAACTGATGAAATTGTTTATTTACTTCCTGAATTAATCATAGTTCATTTTGAAGTTTCAAAAATAATATTTTATAATGATATAAAAGCTATATCACATGAAAAATGATATAACTTTGTGAAGGATATGAAACAACAAACCTGTTGTGAATTAATGATTGTATATAATTTGTATTGTGTTACAGTTGATTGGATTATAGCAAACATGTTGGCATCGCCACAAAGTTGCATTGGAAGAATCCGGTATGTTCTTAAAGATGGTCTGAGGTTCTTCCCATTGTATGGTTTCTATTTCAGACAGGTAAGGCATTTCTTGCTCTTCTCCCTTTGTTATTGTTATGGTGCATTGAATTTTACATTTCGAAAGGAGGCTATTGGTGCATAGGGTTTAATGCCACACCCATACTGTTTAATCATGCTGCGATTTTATATCTATTAATAATGTTTTCTACTTTATTTTCTTTTATTACCTCTAAGATATTACTAAAGAAGAATGATACCACATGTCCCTTTGTACATTATTTCAGTCACTTGACTTTCCTCAAGATAGGGAGGGGGTGATTCTCTCATGATAAAATCGGATTTAAGATTGTCTTACTGTTATGCTGTTGTCTTATGCTTTCCCACTATAAAGTTTTTAACATCGGCCAATATCGTAATAAATCGGTCATTTTTCACAAATTTCGGTATTAAATAATTTTTAACCATTAATAATTGGAATTTAGTACCTAGCGATAAAGGGTGGGTGATTGTAAATAATTTAACTCCCAATATTTGAAAAGAAAATAATATTCCCGAAATAACACATTTTCAACAATATTGGACAATGTTAGAATTTTTTGATGGGAAAGCATTACAGTAAGACTACTTAAAGCCAGCAAGCAGCCATGTATTCAATGTCAGCAACCATAAAAGAAGATAAAGGGACTAATTTTATAAAAGGGATGACTTAATTGATAGGAAATGTCACAGATGAATAACTGCTGTCTCTTTTCCATAAGAAATCATATGCTCTGATTTGTCAGAGCTCCGTAAATTTATAACATTGAAAAAAATGCATTTTTAGCTCATCTGTTTCGAAAAAAAGTCCCTGTGGTGTTGTGGTCGCCATGCAAAAAATTTAGTAAAGCCCATTATTCAAACATCTTGACAATGTCACAACATGAAACTTGCTTATCATGACAAGGTGCAGTTCTGAGACAATGGGCATAATTCTGAAAGTAATGTTTTTTGAGTTATGCCCCTTTTTAACTTAGAATTTTTAACAGACAAGCATTTACAACACATGCTGTGGTCTTGTTTTACTGTGAATCCAAATTGAAATGCTTTTATGGAAACAATTTCTAACGGCAGAAAAACATGAATAATAAATGTATGCTTTAAATTTGATTTTGCATTACTTGCAGCATTCGTGTATATATGTGAAGAAAAGTGGTAAATTTGATCAGGACAAGGCAGAAAAACAACTTGCTCAGCTAAAAACTAATGATATTCCAGTGAGTATATGTTTTATGTTCATTTTTGTGGGTCATAATAAACATTTATTTCGTCAGTAATTTTAAAGATGTGTCAAAAGATGCACACAATAAGGAATGTATGCATAAATCTTTTCACTTTCCTATTAGAAATACAAAATGTACTAAATTAAGCAATAGCAATTAATAATGCTGGGGAGAATATTATATTAGCATTATTTCATGCCTGCACTGGCACCTGAGGAGAACCTTTGACATGCCGTAAGCAAGCTGTTTAGCTGAATAGCTGAAAGAATCCAAAGTCCCTGTCAGGATTTGAACCCTCAGTGATAAAAGGCAAGTGGTTTGAAGTCAACAGCTTTTACCACACGGCCACTTACACCCCTTGTAAAACACTATAAAAAAAAAGAAATTCAAGGACCTAAAAATGACTGTGTCTTAGGGATGCAAATTTCTTACCTTCTAACACTTATTCAGTCATTTACACCCCGTAATAAGAAACCTTCATTAATGTCATCTCTTTATATTAAACAAGAATTCTCTAAAGGATATAAAAAACGTTCTTACATATTGTTGGTAATGTTTTATAGGTTTGGTTAGTGATTTTTCCGGAAGGTACACGCATGAACCCCGATTTACCGGATGTGATTGAAAGAAGTAAAAATTCTGCCATAGAACAAGGTTGAAATCTATTTCATTCTCCTTTTTTACTGATATTCGTGTCATAAAGATTAAAGTAATTTGATATTCAACTTAACTTTCCTTAGTGATGTATAGATTTCTTGTTTTCTGTGAGAAATTGTTTTTAAAAAAAAAGGGTTAAAGTTTACAAAATTTTAAAAATGTTCCCTAAATGAAATCATTCTTTTTAAAATTTTTCCGATTTAATAATGGTTTTAAAAATATGTTACCTTGGTTTTTTTGTTTAGAAAAATTTTTTTTTCAAAAAAAATTAGTGGGGAAAAATTTTTCGGTTTTTTTAACTGATAATATTTTCCCATTTAAAATTTTTTTTAAATGATAAAAAATTGCTTTTTCCTTTTTGGGGTTTACAAGGGTTGAACCATAAAGAGCCCTGGCCCGTTTTCCCAAAAATGGGAAAAGGTTTTAAAAATTAAAGGTTTGAGAAGTTAAAGCACCATGTAGATGCCATATATGATGTTACAATAGGTTACAGTGATTCTATTGATCCAGAGACTGGTTGTAGAATTGCTGCACCAGGAATGACTGGTATATATTATTTCAGTTTTTGTGTCGCCTTGAAAAGGTGACATATAGGGGTTACTTTTGTCGGCGGTGTCGGCGGCGTCTGTGTCGTTGTCGGCGTCCCCTAAAGCTTGTCCGAATCATAACTTAGTCACTATAAGTCTGATTGACTTCAAACTTGGTATGCATGCTTCTTTCAATAACGCGAAGTGCAGTGCACAAGGACCGGTACCCTGCAGTTCTTATTTTTTTTGAGTTATTGCCCTTTGTTAATTTTCATACTTTAATTTTGTCCGGGCCATTTCTCTTCAACTAAAAAAGCTATGGACTTGAAACTTCATGGGATGATAGATCTCATTATTAAGAAGTGCAGTGCACAAGAATCGGTACTCTGCACTTCCTAATTTTTGAGTTATTGCCCTTTGTTAATTTTCATACTTTATTTTTGTCCGGGCCATTTCTCCTAATGTATAAAAGCCATGGACTTGAAACTTCATAGGATGATAGGTCTCATTAAGAAGAAGTGCAGTGCACAAGAACTGGTACTCTGCATTTCTTATTTTTTTGAGTTATTGCCCTTTGTTTATTTACATACTTTAATTTTGTCCGGGCCATTTCTACTTAAGTATAAAAGCTATGGACTTGAAACTTCATAGGATGATAGATCTCATTATTAAGAAGTGCAGTGCACAAGAATCGGTACTCTGCATTTCTTAATTTTTGAGTTATGGCCCTTTGTTAATTTTCATACTTAATTTTTTGTCCAGGCCATTTATCCGAAAGTATAAAAGTTATGGACTTGAAACTTGATAGGATGATAGATCTCATTAAAAAGAAGTGCAGTGCATAAGAACTGATACTCTGCATTTCTTATTTTTGAGTTATTGCCCTTTGTTGATTTTCTTACTTTTTTTTTGTCCTGGTCATTTCTCCTCAAGTATGAAAGCTATGGACTTGAAACATCATAGAATGATAGATCTTATTGATAAGAAGTGCAGTGTACAGAAACTGCTGCTCTGCACTTATTATTTTTTTAGTTATTGCCCTTTTTTAATTTTCATATTTCATTTTTGTCCTGGCCATTTCCCCTAAACTACATTGTTCACAAGGCGACACATCCGACTCGCGGAGTTCTAGTTAAAGGGTATAGTTACTGTTACACCCTGCTCACTGTAAGCCTCGAAAACTGGCAAAATCACTGGCTACTGGAAAATTTGCCACATGATACCTATGTCACGCTGTTATCGATGATACCTTACCAAACCCCGAGGAATTATCATTCTTTTAATCACTCAGGAGTGCCTTCTTGCTGGCCACTCTCGGATTATAATTAGCTACTTTTCTTCTTCTCCAAGCAAATTTAGGTAGCACCAAGTTATATACTTGTGTGTTGTATGAAGATTTTCAGCCTTTATGGTGGAACAAGACATGGGTGTTTATCAGGCAGTTATCAAACTGCATTTAGTAGTAACAACCAGTAAGGCAGAAAGATGACTTTCTTACATTATTAATATGAAGAAATAGCATTTCTATTTTACGATACAGAAGTCCAAAGGAGTAAATTAGTCAGTCAGCTCCAATCTGCAATGTAGACCCCAGATAATAAATTTGATCCACGCCATGGCAAAAGTTTAAAAACCAACATAGTGCGTTTAGGACCAGCATGGATTTAGACCAGCCTGCACATCAGATCAGGATCCATAGTGTTCGCTACCAGTGGCTTTACTTGTAATAGGGTTTTTGTAAGCGAACAGCATGGATCCTGATCAGACTGTGTAGATGCGCAGGCTGGTCTGGATCCATGCTGGTTGCAGACACACTACGTTGGTTTTGTCATGGTGCGGCTCATTAATTTTTTTTATGATTGCTATTTGATCTATAAAAGCAGCATTTCATTGCTCAATAGTAAGTTATCTGTGGTGAATTATTTATTCCAAATATAGGGGTATTTTTTTACTACATTGTACTATGTTTAAGGGACACTAAAGTACACAGACCCTAGTTGTCAGTGAATTGTTTGTAGGTGATACACATTTTTTTCCTTTCCAGAATTTTTATCTTTAAATAATCCTGGAATCCATTTACACTTCAATAAAGTTCCTATACAAGATATTCCTATGGAAGAAACAGATCTGAAACAATGGCTATTTTCAACATTCCGCCAAAAAGACAAGTATGTGTTTTATTTATTTTCCACCAATTTGTTTTATATCCTGTTTGGAGTCCAGGGTTGCATTATGATGGTGATGTCTGTCAGTTGACTTTGTTATTTTCTTGCTTTTTTATACAAGTGGGGTTTTTAAACAAATAACTGTAAACATTTGTTATTTTCAATGTCCCCAGGTAAATGACATTTCCCAAAGGGGTCTTTAAAAGTATAAAAGCGTTTCCCGTAATTATTTAAGAAAAAGCTTTTCAATTTTTTGGGTTAAAAAATTTAATTCTTTAAAATGTGTGAGTCAAAAAGGGAAACCCATAAAAACATTGCAGCTTTTCCCGCTCTTTTTTCCCTTTTGGGGTTTTACAAAAAAAAAATGTCATTAAAGGCTTTTTTGGGTTCTGCAAAAAATTCCCTGTTTCAGATAAAACAAAATGATATTTAAAATTTTTTAAAATACAAATTTTGTACTGTTTTAAACCCGATTAAAAAATAAAAAGAATTGCTTTAATGTGTAAAATTTTTATGCATACAAGCACTTCATTGCATTAAAGAGTGTTGTGATTTCAGTACTTGGTACTGATGTTTATTTGATAATATTCTGATAACATATCTTTTATTATTAGGATAATCTATCTCTTCAATGATTTTAAGTGAAACAAAACACAGATATCACAATGCATGGGAACTGTTTCCCTTTGAACAAAAGAATGAGTTATTTGAGTACACTATACTTAGCCACTTAACTAGATATATTCTATATTAAGACACATTGGGATTTCCAAGATTGTGTGTGGCAAGCTAAATACTGATGGGTAGAAATTGATGTTATGTGAGTGTGCATATTAAATGAGTATTTTAGAATAACTATGATTTTTGTACAGGAATGACTTGCAAGCCAGAAAGGGTTTTCTACCTATTGAAACCTACAAAAACTTAATATCATTTGATGGGCATTATCCAGGCTCTTCTTAGCCAGTCATTTGTGTGCTCAAGAAATTCATAATTATACTTGTAAACTTTTACTTTCTCCTGAACGTTTTGATAATTTTTATGTGAAAATTGTCATCAGATGGTGATGATTATAAAATATTTTACTTTTTTCAGGTTAATATCACATTTCTATTCAAGTCTTCCAGAAGAGCGAGGTAGATTTCCCGGACAGTCAGTTACATTAAAAATCCCAGCATCCTCTACTGTGCCGTCATTTCTTTTCTTCAGTTCTTGTTTAGTGTTCTTACTAAGTAGGCCAGAGGGTAGAACGTTTTATTGGAAGACATATGTTTTTGGGACTATATTAGGCTGTCTGTGGATGTGTATAAGATCTTGATCATTTGTTATATTTTTATATGCCATGAGTGATAGATTCTACAGGAAAATTTAGTCATTTGTTTCTTTTGATATTCAAAAGTTTTATTAAAAAATTAAAAAAAAGGTATGGTAACCTTATTGAAAGTATATTTTGTTTTGCTGGGGATTTAAATTTATGTTTTAATTATCTCAACTATTTAAATAGAAGAATCTGGAGAGCTTTTATACAATTTTTAAAAAAAATACATGCAAATCATGTCAAAGATCTGCTATTAAAAGTGTATTTTGTTTTGCTAAGATGCATTTATTTGGTACATGTCATTGATTATTACGGGACCTTTGTTTTTTTAAAAAAAGGCGGTTTGGGTTTTAACACATTATTAGGAAATTTTAGATTAATCACGAAGGCGTCACCTTTGGGTTTAAATTTTTGCATGAAATTGGTTTCCAAAAATACCGGGGGGCCTGGGCACTGGCCCTGCTAAATTCGATGACTGTTGGTTGAAACACACTCTTATTTGAGGGCATATTAGGAGGTCAGTATCCAAGTATCCATATGTCAGTATAACTCTGACATAGATTTTGATTTTGTATTATGTCCCTTTTTTGAACTAAAAAAGTTTTACATTATCCAGGCTCTGGTTTGACTATCAAGCACTGAGAATAGTCAAGCATGTTGTCATACAGACATGTCTTGCTCAAATTATTGTTTCCTAGTTTTTAAAGCAATGTTTTAGTATATATGTATATGATTGTATGAATTTTTATTTACTATCGCTCTATAATATATATATATATATATATGTATTGTGTATATATAAATATACATGTATTGTAAATATAGTAAATAATTAATTTTGATACAGCTTGAAATAATGCTGGAGTGAAATGAACAAATTTTGTTAAAACAGGTATTATTGCACAAGTGTTAACCCTGTACTTTATAGAGATATGTTATACTGATCAAGCCACACAGTAAAGAACAATAAGGTATTACACATATGTATCATTTCATAGGCAATTTTGTTCTTATCTCTAATTTAATTGTTCATTTATGTAAAAGACTGTATTTATATGTATGAAGTATGAGTATGAAATTCCCTTTATTCTGGTGTAAAAATCACTTTACTACTATGTCTGGTTATAATTATATTGCGATCTGAAACTGATATTTTTCTCCTTCTAAATCTATATAGATAATATAGGGAAATGGTCAAAATGTAGGGCGTCATTGTTTTTACATGTTTATTACTCATTATTCAATCAATTATCACACATGTTTTTACTATCTACTTGTTAAATAATGTCTCCTGTAAAAGGTGATGCATTTTGGAAATACCTTAATTTTGTTATCAAGTTTAGAGGCGTCCAGAGTTGCTTGCATGAGGTTATAATAGATGAAGGTGTCCAGAGGCGCTTGCATGAAGTAATAGATAATGGCCTCCAGAGGTGATTCTATGAAGTAATGGGTTAAATGACATGATTAATATATTTAATCATGGTAGTCCCCATTTCCCATATAAACATAATGTAAACCAATTTCTCATTCTGACATAATATTCACCTTTTTCCATATAAACATATGTAGACCATTTCCCATATAAACATAATGTTAACCAACTCATTCTGACACAATATACACCAAATGTTAACCAACTCCTCATTCTGACACAATATACACCATTACCTATATACATGTAAACATATGTCAACCATTTCCCATATAAACATAATGTTAAACTACTTCTTATTCTGAAATAATGTTCACCATTTTCCCATATAAACTTAATGTTAACCAACTCATTATTCTGACACAATGTTCACCTTTACCTTTATAATCATATGTCAATCATTTCCCATATAAACATAATGTTAACCTACTTATTATTCTGAAATAATGTTCACCATTTTCCCATATAAACTTAATGTTAACCAACTCATTATTCTGACATTCAATATTTCCCATTATTCCAATGATTCATTTTGATCACAGCTAGGCAGTCTGTGAGTGGTTCTTTTAATTTCATGAAATTAAAAGAACCACACATCGACTGCCTGTATTTATAGTATTTATAATATGAATGAAATTAAAAGAACCACACCGACTTTAAATATACACATTGTACACAAACTTCCACATTCTAATACAACCAATGTATAGTTGACATTTAGAAAAAATGTTTTGTTATTTAGACTTTGTTTGATTCATGATTACTGCTTATTTTTACTTTGTAGATTTTTTAAGGGTTTTAGGGTGTTTTTTTTGTGTGGTAAATTTGCTCTTTATTCCGGTCATGTGTCAAAGTCAAAGTATTTTATATTCAATATAAATTTGTAGATATTTGGATCCAATTTGTGCTAGTCATTATTTACAAATATAGATATATTGGTTTTGTTTTAAAAATTTAAGACATGCATCAGTATGTTGAAATAAATGTTAAAGTATGTTGATATAATTATACTGTACATGTAACTTAATCACAAAAAAAATCCAACGTGGAAAAGTGCTATTTTATCTCTTATTTATAATAAATGAAATAATTTGATTGTATTCAATATTAAAAACAATACTTTTAGGGTTATGTCCCCTATTAGCAAATATCGGCATATTATATTATTATATATATTTTATATATGAGCTGCGTCATGACAAAACCAACATAATGGATTTGCGACCAGCATCATCGACAGGATCCAGACCAGCCTTCGCTTCCGCGCAATCTGATCAGGATCCATACTGTTCGCTTACAAACCCTATTACAAGTAGAGAAACTGATAGCGAACAGCATGGATCCTGATAAGTTTCTTTGAGGCCACGGTCAAGAAAAAATCTCTTTAAATAGATGTTTTGTTATAAGAAATTTACATTTTGCAGTACATTTTGTAGATTTGAATGTAGATGATGGTGATTTTTAGCCATGTTTAGTGGTGATTACTTCCCTTAACAGGTGATTATTTAATGATTAGAGTTTTGTATTGTGTCTTGAAATAGATAAGACTTGAGGCTCAACCTGCTGAATTTGTGTAATGGATGTGTAAAGCTTTGAATTTCGAACAGCCCATTCAAAGTTTAAGGCCCATTATGCACCAGAAATGCTTTTATTTTTATTTTCAAAAGCGTACTTTTAAAGTTTCCATAAAAGTGACTCATTGGCCAATTACCTTAACTATCTTTTTCTTCTGTTGGTTTTTGGCAATTAGTACAGTTATAGTGATAAAGTATTTTGTATGGAAGTCAAAAATCTACTTTGAGTGAATAAGTATTTTGTATGGAAGTCAAAATACTTAACTTTGTTTACATTTTGCTACTTTTATGTCAAATTATTTAACATTTAGTGCTTTCTTCAGGTAACAAGCATCTAACATACTCCACAACTATTGTTTAAACATTAACAAATTCATGTTTGTCCTTTCTAAAGAAGTAAATATTTCTTCATTTCTGAGGCATAATGTGCCTTTAATGGTGGTGTCTTCTGATAAAGCGCAGATAGGTTGTTAAAAACTTTATAGTACAAGAATGAGCTTTTCTTAAATATTGTTACATACATTCTGATTATGTGAATTGTTTAAAGTTTTGGGCCATTATGTCTCTTTTATTTTTTATGGAGATTGAAGTCTTGTAATAACATATTCCTGATAATTTTGATTTACAATGTACTTCTTTTTGAATACATAAGAGAAAGAGAGTATTGTTATTGAATTTGTTTAATGTCATGAAAATGATTTCCTATTTTCATTAATTTTAAATGGATTCTTATTGCTTGTCCAAGATTGAGTTTGTTTTATCTTGCAATGCCCATTGATATTAACCACATTTTGATATTTCAGATCTATATTTACATGTGATTTGCAAGTAAATTAAACATTGTGAAAAGATGGAAAAGAAATAAAGGAATTACTGGATTTATTATGTTATTATTTCTTCATGGTATAAACATCTTTGAGGTTGATTGTGAAACAGTAAAAGTCATCCCTGTCATCTAAATTACAGAATAAGATGATATGTTACATGTGTATTTCTAAAATACTGGTACTGTTTGCTTTTGGTATGGGATTTACTAGTGGTATCCTTTAATTTACATGTCTACATTCCTGCAAAGAGTTTGACTTATATTGGAGATAGCATGCTATACATCACATAAACCCTGGCTGAGTTATAGCAATTGAATTAGAAAGGTGTTTTGGCCTGTTAATGATTTTTGTGTTGCCAGCTACACAGAAGCTTGTCCAAACTTCTCCTCAGAAACTACTGCAATTTCAATAAAACCTTACAAAAATGACCAGTACCAAGTCTAGATGTGCATATCATCGCATTTTCTGGTTCAATGTTTTTTGGTCAATTCTTTTCTAATACTACTGTACAAATGCAAATTAAATGAAACTTTACAGGATTGACCGTTACCTATTGATTATCATCAGGCAACACATTGATTATCATCAGACAACATGTGATCACTGATGGCTCTTGTTATTCAGAGTCTGTTCTGATAATGTACACAAGAGCAGGGTTCTATTAGTCAAAGAATTCATTTGTCATGTGACAGAAGAAGTCCTGTTTAACATTGTTGGATAACCAGCTACACAGATAAGCATAAAGAAAATCAGGATGGAGGAAATTGTCTCACTCCAATCTAAAAATCTCAACTTGACTGCTCAGGCAGCATATTTTACTGGCTACAGTACTGGTTTGGGACCAGCAACCGGACACTTTTTGAACATTTTTGCATACAGATTTCATGATATTAAAGCTAGAGATCTGAAAATTCTACACAGTACAGCTAGGTTCTTCTCCTAACTAACAAAGTAGTTTGTTTCAATTTCTGATTATGTTGACACTTATAAATGAGGTCCACTAAGGAGGGTATCAAAATTACCTTAATTGTCCACACTACAGTACCATGTGTCTGGACAGATATGTAATGGCGATGATTTAATTAAGTTAAAAGCTTGGGTGTTTAAATTTTTCATTTTTAAAATGATAAACGATGTTTCAGCAGCAACTGCTGAAGCTTTGGATATTCTATTGTATACACTGCAAACGATTATAGCTAGTACAAGAGGTTAGGTATAGCACTCTTGACGTCCAAATTTTCAACGTCAATATTCTTGAAATGGCATTAATTAAAGTATTACTGTTAACATTAATTGAAATAAATTTAAGTACTTAATTATAGAAAAAATATGCATTTATTGTTGATTAAAAAGGGACTGATGGATTGATAACCACTGAACAAAGAAAAAAACTAGATCGAACATTTTCGGGATTGTCCGGGTTTGGAGGTTGTCCGATTTTGGTGGTCACCAACCAGCACACATACTGTGTACTCAACTTCTTGTGCAAATTTATTAAAAATGCAAATATAAAGAGTCAATGTTTATTGCTCAAAGGCTGAAAGTGCTTTAAGCTATTTTTAACATTAAAATCGAGACACTCTATATTTTAGTACTGTGTAGCCGTATGTCAAAGTCACTCGATTAATTAAATTGTGCAAGCGCTTGTTTTTGAGTTATCAAGCGTCCGCTATGTCGCCTAAAGAAATCATTGAAAAAGTTGAACAACTCCTTTGTCCGTTTGGCTTTGAAGCACATGCGTTTAAGGTTTGAAAAGACTAAAATGTTTTTTTAAATATGAAATTGAAATTATTGTTATAATATGGTATTTAATGCATAATTATGTTAATTGTGTTATTGGACGTTTCGTCCTCAATATGTTTAGAACACAAAATTATGAGAGAAGCAATTCGACCCAGTTATTTGGATGAACAAATAACTATATATTTCAAAATGTTAGAACGTCTTTTTTTGTAACGTCTTTTTTTGCGTGTCACAATTTAGTTCTGTTTTAATTTTGTCTGTATAAAAATGTTTATAAAGAAAATATCAGATTTCAAGATGTTTATGTAACGATAAACCCGTCAATCCATGTTATTTCATGCATTCCAGTGTTTTACTGTAATATATCAGATGATTATATTCTGATAAATCGCTAGTGAAATTTATAAAATATAATTTTCACTGTACTGGTCGGAGACCATCAACCGGACACTTTTGGAACATTTTTCCGTACAGATTTCATAATTTTTAACCTAGAGACCAAAATATTTGACACAGTTAAGCTAGGTTCTTCTCCTAACAAACAAACTAGTTTGTTTATTTCTGATTGTATTGACACTTATATCTGAAGCTCGACAAGGAGGGTATCAAATTTACCTAAATTGTCTACACTACAGTACCATGTGTCCGGACAGATATGTACATGATGTGATTTAATTCAGATAAAAGCTTGGGTGTTTTGGTTTTTGATTTGTAACATGATATACAATATGTCAGCAACAAATGCTGAAGTTTTGGATATTCTATTATTCACTCTGCAAATGATTATAGCTGGTATATGAGGTCAGGCATTGCTTTCTTGACCGCCGAATTTCAACGTCAACATTCTTGAAATAGACATTAAAATATTACCATTTACAGAGGTTGAAATAATTTTATTTACTTAATTTTAAAAGAAACATGCACTTATTGTTGATAAAAAAGTGACTGACAACCACTGAACAAAGAAAATACTACATTAAGCATTTTCGGGACCGTCCGGGTTTGGTGGTTGTCCGGTTTTGGTGGTCCCCAACCAGTAGTTGGACTAGATCTGAATACGGATAAAAAGAATAACATAAGTAGATGAAATACAGTAACTGGCAAAAATAAATGCCATCATACATAAATTTTGCTTCTTTAGGAAAAGAAAGTTGATGTCATCATACATCATGTTAAAAATGTAACAAAATAAAAGAAAATTAACAGAACTATATTTCAAAATTGATGATGGGACATCATGATGTGATGACTTCATAAAGGAGAATGCACGTCGTTACGCGACAAAATCAGTTAAAAAATACTTAAAATCACTTAAAAAGCATGAAATAAAAAGAAAATTTATTTGTTTTACATAAAAGATTATAAAATATTTCATTCGTGAACACCATTTTTTCTTTTTTCACTGGTGGCTACGCCACTTGTGAAAATATTGCATCTGGTGTTCACTCAGTGAAATATATTTCAATCTTACATGCAAAACAAACAAATATCCTCTATGTCCAACTTATTGTACTGTGCGATGAGATATTGTTCTATTTTGTGTCTGGGCAATATCTCACCTCTAGAAGCGAGATTCTGACCCAGAACAAAAATATCTAAAAATCTAGCTTTGGCATGCCAATATACTTTGACTAGAATCTCGCTTTTACACCAGACACAAAATAGGAGAATATCTTGTTGCACAATTAGTTGGACTACTTTGCATCATGATTTTGAAATTTTTGCTTAAAAGTGAAAACTGAAAATCATAAATTGTTATGAATCTTACTATACTGTTATATTAAATTTTCATGCAAATTCTACTATTTTCTTATTTAATGTCTGTAAATTTACAATAAAAAAAATCTGTAAAATTATGGATCATCCAACTGTCTGTAAATATCATGAAATCCTAGACCTGAATATTGTATACAATATCCTAGACCTGGGGTCTAAACTAGATTAATGTATAGAAGGCTCATATATAACTGTATGAAATATAGATGGTGATAAACATAGAGGTCTTTTTATGGAGATTGCCAAAAATATACCCCTATTGATAAATTTTGAGAAAGCAAAGTTTGGTTTTATCATTGCCGGTGCATATACGTATCAATACCCACTTTGCGAAATTTTTGTATTGGTAATGTTTTGCATGTGCACAGGTCATTCTCTGCTGTAGTCCGACTTATATATGACTAGCCAAAGAGACATCAAGATACAATTAATTAAATTTTGGATGGTTTGATAGCAGGAAAAAACGGTATGTTTAATGGGTCAAACAGTTCAGGCCAAATTAATTAGGCTATCTCTGCTGTATGCAAGTAGGTAACACACAGCAATCCAGTTACTGATAAAATGTGGTATGTCCTTTGGAAAGAAGTTAACCACGGAACACGAAGAACAATAAGAATGTTTTAACTAAGCCTATATCTTTCTAAGTAATTATAAATCATAAATTGTGTCCATTTTTCAATTACTGTACTCCATAATAATGTTCTATCACAATGTTCCAACACACACTGCCTTTTCTTGTTAAGCAAAATCAATAGCAAAGACAGTTAACCCATGCCGCCAAGAAATCAAAAGTAAGGTGTTTTTATGAATTCTTAACACATTTTAGACTATTTCTTGATATCTGCCTGAAGATAGTTAAGTATAAAAATAAATTCATGTTAAATATGTGACATATGTACATAATTAAACCACTGTTTCATTTTAGTATGCAGAACAATTGACAAGGCAATTTGTGTTTGTCAGAACTGAACATAGTGATGGTTTGCAGCTTATTGTCTGATGTACTGTTATTGAAAAATGGACACATTACTAAGAAAGACATACTAGTTGAATGTTTGTATTACCTTCAATCATCTTATTGATGATAAGTAAAGTATCCAACTTATATAATTTTAAGCTTCAGTCTCCAAAGTTTGACCATATTGCACACTTCAGTCCCTGAAATGATGTCTTTTAATGTTGATATCAGGTAATGACCTTCAACAGTGTAGAAATTATTACCTTGTCTAACGACTGTTCTCAGGTGAGCAATCTAGACTAGGTATGTCATGGCCTTCTTGTAAGTTTGAAAAGTCTGGGGTTTTTTTTGGGGTGATCAGTGTACACAATTCTGAATTTCTTGAATATTTCATTTCAGATTGGCTTGAATATTACATTTCAGATTGGCTTGAATATTTCATTTCAGATTGGCTGGTATAATGAACATGTTGATGAAAATTTCAAGTTTCCGTATGACTATGATACAATGGCAATACTAGTTATCAGTACACCAGACATGTTTGACAAGAGTCTTGTCCCTTATATAGTGAGAACAGAATGTCCAGGGACTGGAGATATGTTAGATCACTGTGTTACAGAACATTTTAATAATATAAAAAAGGTAAGGATGAAACTCGCTGAGCAAGTAATGACAATTTTCTATTTCTGCAATATGGATAGATAGTTAATTTTATTAAAGATTTGTTAAAAGTTTTTGTTAGCTTGACTTTTTAAATGAAAAAAAAAGAACTTTTGCGACAGTCATGTTGTCGTTATAATTTGTTCAAGATATTTGGTATTATGTTTTCTAGGAGTATTCTTTTTGCTGCAATATTCTTTCTTCAAGGTCTTTGACTATAGACGTAAGAAAAAGTGGACTTTTGTGTTTACCAAACACGCTGTTGTTGTTTTTATCAGCACATGACATTTATGTGACAATGACAGGTGATGATGTCAAAATGGAAAATGAGTTTTTCTTGTAAAAAGACTTTAATGTTCATTAAATTAGATGTTAGCTACTTGTTACAGTTATTTTCTATATTACCCAGGAGTTTGCTGACTGTGATATAGAAGCTATCCATGACTTTGAGTTGTTACCAAGCCGACGTCCTAAAGTCCTTGTCCAGACAGCAGGTCATGTATCAGGTGCAGCATATTATTACCAGAGGAAAGATTTAGACCCAGATCCATGGGGAGATAAAGCTGTAAATATTTATATCTATTAATAATATTGTAGTGATATTTTGAACATTGTATATACCGTAAAATTCCTATTAAACGCCCCCGGGGGCTAAACATTTTCCAAAAGGGTGGCTATTATTACAACACTTTTTTTCCTAAATCCAAAAATCATTGAAAATACATTTAGTGTTAACAAGTGTTGGTAATAACATTAAGATGTGTTGAGGTTTTTAAATGTTGTTGTGATACATTTTTGTGTTTACTATGAAATAAAATGGATTCTGAGGGATTTGAATAAAATTATGGATTTATTAAAGAGTTCACCACTGATGAGCAGATTTTTTTCCATATCAAAAAGCCTGGGTGCTTTTATTAGGGGAGAGGCATTTATTAGGAATTTTACGGTACATAGGGTATAATATGGTAAATTATACACTTTTCAGTTTTCAGCTGGACTATTCGAAAAATAGGGAGGGCTATTGTACTTACTTCGATGTCTATGTTTGAGTTGCCATCACAATTTGGTTAAGTTTTTTGCATGCAAGTTGTTATCTCCAAAACTACTGAAGAAAATGGGTTGAAACTTCACACATTTATTTGAGAGCATAAAAGGAGGTCTTTTTCCAAGGCCAATAACTGTAACATGGGTTTTTATAGAATTATGGCCCTTTTTGAGTTAATAAATTCTACATAATCAAGTTGTCTGTTTTTCTATCAAGCACTGACAATAGTTAAGATTGCTATTCTACTGATAGCTCTTGTTGAACTGTTGATTTATCTAAAGACCTTCATTTGCAAAATGCTGAAATTACACTGCAGACTGAAGTTATAGTCATCACATAGCCTGTAATTGCTGGCAGACCTTGCTCTAATGGTTTAGAAATAAATAATTCACACTAGCCTTCAAAACACTTAAATATCATAGACTACTTACTATCAAAATAAAGAAGATTTTAAACTTGTTGCTGTCAAAACAAATCAAATGATACACATTGGATTAAAATGTTCTTACACTTTGTCATCTCACCATTAAAGTTATCAAAGCTTTGATACTTTTAAAACTGCTGATCTGTTCCTCATGTGGTGTCATTGATTAGCCCATTAACATTCAATGGTCTATTATGTAAACAGTGTAGCTGAAGAGTCTGAAATGAAATCTTAAAGGGGACATGAAGGTCTTCATTCACTATTAAAGATGAAAATTTACAGTGTAATACTGAAAACCCATCCAGAACAAAAACTTTGTACTTGTTTTGTACAATGCCAACATAACGTAAAGTTTTAAAGTAAAAAATCTGCAATGATACAAATTTTGTTTTTAAAGAAATGTAAGATTTTTTTTACATTGGTAAATTTATGGCTAAGTAAGGCAGACCTTTTCTCCACATGATGTGTAAAAGTACATGCAGTTTTAACTATAAAATTAATAAATTTTCAGGGTTATGTCAACTTGACCTGTAAAAAACTTTAAATGTACAATTTCAGTAGCTTGAAATATTTAAGTTTATTGATTTTATTACATCTATAACTTATAAATTTACCTGCAGGCAACTAAAGCTGCTTTCTCATATTTTCTATACAATTTTTCAAGTTAAATGTATCAGGCAGTTACAGTTTATATTATATTCCGACAGCGCAATTTCATGTTATAGACAAAGAAGATAGGATGTGTTTACACAATTATACACAATTAAATGTACATGCTGTTTACTCTGCTGCATAAAAGACAAAATGTCTACTTAATGCAGTAACGTGTAAAAGTAGCACACCTCCAGACTCTTGCTTATTTTCATGAAATTTGAAAATGTATTATAAAGTAAAATATTGTGAAGCAAAAAAAAGAAAATAATTTACACGTTGCAAACCCATGTAAATAACCAAAAAAAAAAAGGTTGAAGTAGCCCTGACTATGTTAGTACGGCAATAAAAATGTGGTGAAAAATACCACAAAATTGGTCATTAATCCCACATGACATGGAAATTATCACTTTTATCTTGAATCCTTGTACTTTTCTTTAAACCAATTTTCTCAAGTTTGATTTTCTTGAAATATTTTTGCTTAACTGGAGACATGCAGCTTTAAAACTATGAATATAACAAATATTTCTTTCCTTTTCAAAGCAGTGAAATGTTTGACAGGAAATAAGTTCATGTTAGTAAGATTGACGACTTATATCAAGTTTTGTGTTGGTAGAAAAACTGAAACCTGTGATTTTTGTTTGTAGTAGGAATATAAAGCATTATACAAACTGTATGTTAAATTTTGTTATTAGTAAATCATCTTTGATTTGTACATTATAAAAGTATATGACCGTACATGAATATGAAGGACTTTTTTAATGTTGAGTTAAAGTATGCAAAAATATAAGTTTACAAAATAGTTAATAGCTTTGATCCTATACTTCATAAAATGTTTGATTTCTTATGGGAAGAGCATATGAAAATTAAAGCTACATTAGCAAACTATAGACTAGTAAAGGTTTTTTTACAACGAAAAAACCCTTCTTTGAAATATTGATGAAACCGCAGAGCGGAAAGTTTTGATTTTACTACCATACGAGTATGTGTACAGGAAATGTACAAGTTAGCCGGAGGGAGGTTAAATTTATTTTTGTGTCAGTCTGGCAGCTGTAATTTAAACATGTATATAATGTACCTTATACATGAAGTTAATTTGAATAAATGGTGAAAACAGTAAGAAAGGTATAGAAATGGGACAGTCATAGAAAATACTGATATATCTACTGTTTAATGTAATACAGATAGAACTACTGATGAAATCAATACAATGTACATGATATTGCCAAGTTATATAAATGTGCCATCCATTTTCCCAGTAATTTCCCTTTTTATCACTTTGAAAATAGGGCCTTGTATGGTTAACCTATTCCGCCAAGTTGAATTTATCAAAAAATTTCACCTAATTACTTAATGTGGATGATTTTATTTCAACTTGTCTGTCATTTAGAGACATATTTTAAATATGATTTACAATATAAAAATCCCTTGCAAGCAATCATGTAAAAAACAAAATATCCCGATGAACGTCTTGAAAGACCGAAACCAGTAGACCCTAGTATAAACCAGTTTTACAAACCATCCTGATGTTTGACATGTGTTCTCTCCTTTTGATTTACTTGTTTATTTAAAAAACAAAATAGCTAAAGATGGCATATATATAATAAGTTTTATTGAGTCTTTTCATGAGAGGTATAAATGGTAATATATCCTGTTTGTCTCCTAAGATTAATGTCATGTTAGGTTAAAAGCACCATATACATGTGCATATGGTGTTTTTGAGCATCTGTTGGGTGTGATGCAAAGTTCAACAGCCTCTGTCACCTTAGGCAGTGATTTAAGAATACTTCTTTAAAAATATAGTAATGAAATACCAGCAGTATTGTACAGTACATCATTTACTCTATAACCGTATGAATATGTAATATCTACTTTTCTTGGTGTTTGTGATCTATAGGTTGCACACAGGTTCTATCCTCGGGCAAGGTGAAATTTCTCGGCATAGATTGAGTCTTATGATCATTTGTCTCTTACCATAATTCAGAAATCATGTGAGATTAGTAGTCAAGTCACTTGATGAGCAATTTGTAATTACTGGTTATCCAGGAAAGTAGATTAGGTGGACAAACTACTAGTCACAAAACGTGTTGAAACCGCAAAAAAACAAACAAACAAAAAACGATAAATAATCATAAAGTTGACATATGACTTTCATATTGGTGGTGTAACTTCAATTTTTACCATTTTAACACAAAGCACATTTTTTTTGTATCTTTTATAGACCTGTATTTTTATATATTTTGCAGAAAATATATGGTGTGAGCATACATCCGAAATACGGAGGTTGGTTTGCATTGAGAGGGGTCCTTATCTTCAAGAATATAAAACACCCGGACCTTGAGAGGGTCAGTCCTGTTGATGTTGTTAACACATACGAGCTGAAGAAAGAATTACTGGAGAGGTTTAACTACAACTGGCAGGACTGGACCTTCAGAGACATTATTCCAGTGGAAAAGAGATACTCGGAAGATCAGAAAGAGTATTTTGCAACATTGCCGAAAGATAGACAACCATTGATAGAAAAACTTAAAAGTCATAGAAAATGTGAAGCTGTAGATAGTTTGTGAATGCTTGTTTTATATTCAATGTTATTTATAGATTGACTATTTCAAGAAAAGGCAGAGCTATTGTACTCACCCTGGTTAAGTTTTTGTGCAAGTTTTTATCTCTAAAACTACTAGAGGGAATGAATTGAAACTTCACACACTTACTTTAGAGTCAATAGGAGGTCACTGTCCAAGGCCCATTAATTTAATATTGATTTTGACTGAATTATGGCCCTTTTTGAACTTGGAAAATTGTACATTATTCAGACTCTTATTTTATTATCAAGCATAAGAATAGTCGAGTCCTACTGACAGCTCTTGTTTTTACTATATAAGCTTTCTCTCGTGTCTGATTTTTTGACATGGAGTCCAATTCTAATAAATTGTCAGAAATTACTGTAGCTGTGACAAGGTTAGCTTTTCAAAAAGCTAGTAGCGACTCGCTTCGTAACTTTTTTCAAGGGGTGTGTTTAAATGTAAAAATGACAGTTCTGTTAGCTGAAGAGACTTCAGCGAACATCAAAATAAAAGTGAAGTCAACACTGGCCCGGTGCCCGATGGCCAGTGTATATAAGTTCAGGCCAGTGTAAATTTAAGAAAATTTTGTTAATTATTTAGTAGAATAAATTCAAAACTGGAATTCGGGCCAGTAAATTCAAAATCTTAAACTCTTGACTGAAAGTGACATATAAAGTTCTCTCAGTTTAACCAAGATGAGTATGAGTATATATGAAGGTGCATGTAAACAGATAGAATGAAGAACCTATGTCTATGCACATTTACTATATGGCCTGTTGACCTTGACCACAAAATGTTAGATCGGTAGATTTCATAAAGATGTCTCTTTATACAAAATTAAGTTGTAATACATGTATGTTATTTAGTATTGGAATGAGAGGCACAAGTCCTAAAGTAAACACAAGTTGTCAATCATACAGCCAGAAAAGCCGGGATCCTATTAAAAAATATAGGGATCCCGGAAATTGACCAGTCTAAGAAGATGTTTTTCAGATAAGCCGGGATCCTATTAAAACATATAGGGATCCCGGGAATTGACCAGTTCAAGAATATAGTTTTCAGAAAAGCCGGGATCGTATTAAAATGTAAATAGATCTCACTAATTGGCCAGTTCAAGTATATAGTTTTCAGAAAAGCTGGGATCGTTTTAAAACATATAGGGATCCCGGGATTTGACCAATTCAAGAAAATAGTCTTTGATTTTTCCAATTAATTAGGCATATAATTATAAGTATTGTGATTTCCGCATTAAATAAGTTTGTTAATAAATAGTTCTAAATATATCTATATTCTAAGTTAAATTAATTTAACGTTCATTACATACAATAAAAAAATTAACGTTTAATGGCCTTTCATTACGACAACAATCAACACAAATATAGTTCACTAGGTTTTTCCTCCATATCTTATACGATCCCGGATCCCGGGCGTCCTGGATCCCGGCCAGTAAATACATACACTAAATACCGGAAAGGATAAAATGACCGGAAAAAAGGAAAAATAAAAAATGCACAGAACCAGATGTACACTTATGTTAATTAACCAAACGAAAACTTACTACAGAGAAAACAGGTAAAATCGCTAAATCAGAAGTCAGTGTAAATATGATTTATTGAAAAGAATTCATAAAGACAAACATTTTAATCATCATTATATCTTTGCGCTCAAAACAATACTTGCTGATTTTTAAAAATGGCGTGAAAATTGAAGGTTTTTTGACGCTATGTAAGATTAAATTTGATTGGCTAAATAATTTTGGATCCTAGCCCTGATAGATAAATTTTGTAGAAAGCTGGAAGCCAAGCTTCGATTAAATTTTTGGATAGCTTCGGAGTTTTAGGTTTTTTCTCAGTAAAATCCTACCGTAATACCGGCTCGCCGTGGCGAGCCGGCAATAGTGACAACTTTAATACAGCTTACTCTGTCTCATAAAAGCAAACAAGCACTGATATGTCAAGGAACAATTGAAATCTTGCACATTAATGTTCTTCTTGATGATTTTTTGTAAGTGTTAATTACACTTGTAAGAAAATGACATAGATGGCTGAATTGGGCTGAATTGATCAAAGCTATGAATGATGGTTAAAATACCTTAAAATAGTGTCTGGAATTAAATTATGATAATGGAAATTGAAAAAAGAATAATCGACTTATCACATTCCAGGAACTGCATGGATACTCAGGTGGATTTAACCTTTACAGCAATTATGACTTTTCCATGCCACCAGTATAAATCTAAACCAGCCTGCACTATATCTATATATACTATATCAGTCAGTCAAGGCTTTGAGTTGTTTGCAGCCTAATTTTTCTGTTTTGATTCTTGAAATCCCTCAGTCTTTGATAGAGAAAGTTCATTTGCAGGCAAGAATGTGAAGATCTCTTAAGTGTCTCACTTATTAGTTTCTTTTAATACTTAAATTTGAACTTTCAATTTATTATACTTTTTCTTATCAATACATTAAAGTAATTTGTAGCTAGTTTTTGATAGTTGCTAGATTTTGTGTTTTTTAAATGATTGTGCAAGTATTATGTCCACTGTTTATTTACCCCATTGTGAATAACACTATTTATTTGAAAACAATCTGTTTTTTATCCTCCACTCTTTCATTATCACATCATATTTTATATGTTTTGGAACTTGTTATTATTTTTATTGTTATGCCCCCATTTCGAAGAAAAGGGGGTATATTGCTTTGCACTTGTCGGTCCGTCGGTCCGTTGGTCCGTCGGTCCGTAGACCAAATGGTTTCCGAGTGATAACTAAAGAACCCTTAGGCCTAGGAACTTCAAACTTGGTATGGTGATTGGTCATGACCAGTAGATGACCCCTATTGATTTTGGGGTCAAGGGGTCAAAGGTCAAGGTCACATTGACCTTGTAAGCAAAAACGGTTTCCGATCAATAACTAAAGAACCTTAAGGCCTAGGAACTTCAAACTTGATATGGTGATTGGTCATGATCAGTAGATGATCCCTATTGATTTTGGGGTCAAGGGGTCAAAGGTCAAGGTCACATTGACCTTGTAAGCAAAAACAGTTTCCGATCAATAACTAAAGAACTTTAAGGCTTAGGAACTTCAAACTTGGTATGGTGATTGGTCATGATCAGTAGATGACCCCTATTGATTTTGGGGTCAAGGGGTCAAAGTTCAAGGTCACATTGACCTTGTAAGCAATAATGGTTTCCGATCAATAACTAAAGAACTTTAAGGCCTAGGAACTTCAAACTTGGTATGGTGATTGGTCATGATCAGTAGATGACCCCTATTGATTTTAGGGTCAAGGGGTCAAAGGTCAAGGTCACATTGACCTCTTGGGTAAAAACGGTTTCTGATCAATAACAAAAGAACCCTTAGGCCTAGGAACTTCAAACTTGGTATGGTGATTGGCATGACCAGCAGATAACCCCTATTGATTTTGGGTTAATGGGTCAAATGTCAAGGTCACATTGACCTTGTAGGTAAAAACGATTTCGATCAATAACGAAAAGAACCCTTAGGCCTAGGAACTTCAAACGTGGTATGGTGATTGGTCATGACCAGCAGATGACCCCTATTGATTTTGGGGTTAAGGGGTCAAAGGTCAAGGTCACATTGACTTTGTAGGTAAAAACGGTTTACGATCAATAACTAAAGAACCCTTATGCCTAGGAACTTCAAACTTGGTATGGTGATTGGTCATGACCAGCAGATGACCCCTATTTATTTTGGGGTTAAGGGTCAAAGGTCAAGGTCACATTGACCTTGTAGGTAAAAACGGTTTCCGATCAATAACGAAAGAACCCTTAGGCTAGGGACTTCAAACTTGATATGGTGATTGGTCATGATCAGTAGATGACCCCTATTGACTTTGGGGTCAAGGGGCAAAGGTCAAGGTCACATTGACCTCTAAGGTAAAAACGGTTTCCGATCAATAACTAAAGAACCCTTAGGCCTAGGAACTTCAAACTTGGTATGGTTATTGGTCATGACCAGTAGATGACCCCTATTGATATTGGGGTTAAGGGGTCAAAGGGCAAGGTCACATTGACCTTGTAGGTAAAAATGCTTTCAAATCAATAACTTAAGAACCCTTTGGCCTAGGAACTTCAAACATGGTATGGTGATTGGTCATGACCAGCAGATGACCTATTGATTTTGGGGTCAAGGGGTCAAAGGTCAAGGTCACATTGACCTTGTATGTTAAAACGGTTTCCGATCAATTAACTAAAAACGCTTAGGCCTAGGAACTTCAAACTTTGTATGATGATTGGTCGTGACCAGCAGATGACCCCTATTGAGTTTTGGGTCAAGGGGTCAAAGGTTAAGGTCATGACCAGTAGATACTTGATAACCCTTATTAATTGTTTGATCACTGGGTCAGAAGTCATAATAACCTTATCACATGACTAATTGGCTGCTGATAGGGGGCATACATGTTTTACAAACATATCTTGTTTATATACATTGTGTATAGCAAGATAAAATGTAATTTTGAAGTTTGTGCCATGATTTTAATGACCTTTATTGATTGTTTATATTCCAGGAAATAAACAGATTTGAAAATGTTGTACAAGTGTATTTATTGAGGTTAATGCATGTTTACTTAAGGGCTAAGAGATTTTATCAAAGAACATGTATTCAAGGCCGTTGTCTTTCCACGTGACAAAGACATGTATTTTTGTGTCACATATTATAGTATTAATATTTTGTTATTTTCAAGAAAGAACCATCCTGTAAAGCAATTATTTCTTGTTAAAGACCATTACGGAATGCTATCATTTTTATTTTTTCAAAAACTTGTTTTATATTTCAAAAATTTGTTTTTGTGCCCTGTTACAGTGTCCAAATGTTACACCTTTGAAACATATCTAAGCCATATTATGCTTATTGTGTTTTAGCAATCAGTATTGTTATTAATTGATTCGGTATTTTGTATGGAAGACAAAATACTCTTTGTTTACATTTTGTTACATTTATCACAAATATTTCACATTCAGCAGTATGTTTTAGGTGATAACCTTCTTAAATGTTCAATATGCATTATTACAACATTATAAAACGTATGAAATTATTGTGTGCCCTTTCTACAGTATGAAAAAACTATTCATTTTTCAGGCAAAATGTACTTTGAATGATGACATTTTATATACATTATAGAAATATTTTCGGCTTCCTTTGCTTGTGTAGAAGGATGACTGAATCTTCAATATATTTAAATTTGAATGCTTTTTTAGCTCTCCAAAGCACACAAAGGTTTTTAGAAATACACCAACAACATAGTTTTCAAATGGACAGTCAAAGGTCATCATGAACCTTTGTGTCTTAATTACTGGAATGTTTTACATGCTATTAATAGGTATATTGTTGCAAAATGCTGATGAAACTT